GCTGCTTCTTCTGAGCGAGGGCGTGGACGTGAACATTAGCGCGGAAAAAGGGCGGTTGGTGCTCTACAAAGACGCGCGCGCGAAGGAGGAGGTTTTCAACATAAGCCGCAAAGACAAGCGCACGAAGGCAATGCAAAAGGAGACGGCCCAGATAGTACGGTTTTTCAAGACGTACAAAAACATCGTGGAGCTTCCGACCACTCCAGAAGGTTTTGCAACCGGCGAGTTTCTAAACAGCACGCAGTTTCTGATCCAGGCGTACCTATCCAAGTATGTGCAGGGGAGAAAAAGCATGCTGGAACTTACAGGGTGCGCGCACAGCTTGCTGGTTGGCATGATGCGCGAAGAGCCCGTGTCCCCCAACGGCGGGGGCGCTGCATCCGACGCGTTCAAAAGGCTTTTCACGCCCGCGGAGGACGGAAGCAAGGCCCTTGAGTACTTCGAGCCGCTCAATACGTTGGCGTACACTCTTGGCATTGGAGCCAATTTTCCGTTCACTGAGCAGTGTTTGCTACCAGAATATAGGGGCGTTCCTTTGTACGACAGAGCGGCGAAAGCGTTCACAAAAGACACTTTTTCCAACTGCTGCGAGGCTGGGATTCTTTCGCTGGTCTGCTGTCTTGCGTACAACCCGGAAACCGGCAAATACGACATGGACGGGCTTCTAAAGGGCTGCCCGGATCCGGCTGCGGCGCAGGATCTGAGAGAGTTCTTTTCCAGCACTGCAATTGCTCCTAACAACAGCATTACACTAGATGTGCTGAAAGAGTGGACCAAAGTGGTGGCAGACCTTCCTTGCGGCAAAATAGCGTACAATCACAGTAAAAAAAACAACATTAAAACCGGGCTAGGAAACACCCTGTACGTTATTGCGCAGATAACAGGCCGCATGGAGGCCGAGGAGAAAGAGATAGACCGCCTTTTGAGCCAAGTGACCCCCGACTCCCCAATTACTATAGAAATGGAACTGGCTATTGAAGAGTATCTTAACACATTTTTTGTTTCGCTTTCGGTGAACAAGAACCTGAAAGTGCGTATGCAGAACCTCACCGGTATCTTTATGTATATCTCCAAGGAGTCAAAGCGCATAGATTTTTATGGGTCTATGCGTTTAGACTACTTCCATGGCGAGAAGAACACACCAATCTGGTTTGTTATGAAGCTCAGTGATGGCCACATGGCGTATTCTGCAAATTGCGGCACCGGGCTGACAGATGAAGACGTTTCGGTGCTAGAGGACGCCGTCATAAAATACAGAGAGGACAACACCTTTACTTCGTGCCTGCTTGCGCACTACATCGAAAGGAAAGTGCTTACAAAAGCGCCGGGGAGAAAGGAAATAGAGAATGACAAAAGGCTGTGGAGAATGCTGACTGACGCAGCAGAGTCCAGCCCCAGAAACCTGAACAGGCTGTTTCTGTACGGCCCCACGCTTACTATGCATGAAAGAAAGATAGCTGTATCATGCCTGGTCCTTTGTATGAAGAACCATGGAATCGAATGCAACATGCAGCACCCCATGGCCCGTCTCATCCACAACATTGTTGGCACCACTCCGAATCTACACACCTCCAGAAGCTGCAAAATGCTAGGCATCCTCGTATCTGCTGGGTTTTTTGATACGCTCTGCCCCAACATTCAACTGTCGGAAAACGCTAAGAATAGTGCTTTCGATGCGTTTCAAGCCTTGCTGCTTTTTTATCTTGAGGAAATCAATTTTTCTACCGACTGGTCGTTAGTTATACTGGATCATTTTAAAAACTATTCCAAAAAGAGAGCAGGCGGTTTGACGTTTAACCCCGCTATAAAGCTGGATGTAGATGTTGGAAGAATTTTGGTTGAATTTCTTAAGCAAAACACAGCAGAGCACGTTCGCTCGTTTTATGAGCTTATATACGAGGATGCACAAAACAAAAAAGCAGATGCAAAACGGGAGAATAGGGTAATCGGTTACCACTTTGACTCGTGTGTGGAGTCATTGAGAAACACATGGCTTCTTTGGTTCCTTAAGTATGCCATATTGAAAAAGCCGGACCAAGTCCAGCTTATCCACGACCTGTACAGCCTTGTTCCTTTAAAGCTGCAGCTAAACTATCCAGTCACATACTTTAAACCTCTTTTCAAAAAACATGAGGACACAGTATTGGAATACTTTAGAAAAAACGTTGACGCTCTTGTGAAAGTCGGCGGGCAGGAAAGGTTTAACACTGTGTACGCCGCCTTCGCGCCAGAAAATCAGTTTAATTATCTGCCCTAGTAAAGCCGGGCACATGCAGACTGCAGGGCACAAGCTAATTTTGCCAAATTTTCCGAAGCCTGGGCTTGCCAAAATGGAAGTGTGGAATTCGAGGTTATTGCATACACCTGCAACAGGCGTGCAACACACCCAAATAATAGCCCAAATGGCATTAATGGTTTGAAAAATAAACGCTTTTTAAAGATCCAAGTGCCATTCTACACCCAAGGGTGTGCTGGCATAGTAAGACAGCTGTCTCTCCCCAAAGAACATATCGGCTCTTTCGCGTTTAAAAGGGCAGTAGCCAATTCGTTCTGGTTCTGCTCTTAGCGAAGAAGTTGGCAAAACAAAGCCTCTAAAACTTTTTCTGAAATATTGAGCAAGCTACTAGTTTGAAATTATAATAGAATAGTTCAGCGCATCTCTGCCAGACACAACACACAGCACAGGCATCCACATGCCAGGGCGCAGGCATGCGCTAGCACCAGAGACAGCACTGTAAGCAGCGAGTTGCAGTGCACGCATTGTGATGATTTGAAACGCTGTCTTTGCCTATCCCCGGCCCGCTCGAATCTGCACACGCATAGGCGCAGGCCTGTTATATGACTGCTGTCAATCACACTTTACACAAAGGCCCGAAAAGCCAAATATGGGCAGCCATGTGTTAGAATATAAACAGTGCAGCGCGCCGCCACAGAATTTCTTAACCCTATAATATAATCTGAACATCGAAGTACCATAATTTATGAAAGCAGCATGCATGAGCAGGCTCCTTTTGCAAAGCAGGCTTTGGAAAACGCGCGCGCGCCTTGCCTTTTTTAGAAGGACGCACACAGTATGCCAAAACCCCCACAGCTGCTAGGGTCTGGGCCGGCATTTTTTGTCTTGAAGCCCATTATGGTGCATTCATGCAGAACTGCAAAAGAAGCGCAGACCGAGCACAGAAAGTTGTAATACTGGAATTGCTAAGTGAAACTGCAGCCTTTGTTTGTTAGGCTTGGCCTGCTTAAATAGACATTATTTAATCTATCCCTTAACATCTAAGGTATGCAGCCCCTTAAGTAGTCCATCTGAACAATAACCAATTACGAGCAACTAACTATGCTTTCATCATACATCATAGAAGAAAAAGAAAAACAAGCCAGCGCCAACTTTCTGTGTTTTGAGACAGCAGCTCCGGCAAAATCGCCCACATTAGTCTGCGCTGAGCGCTTTGTTTTGGTTTGAACTGGCTGTTCCTGCCTAGTGCCAAATTTCTGTTTATTTTTGGATTATACACATTCATAGTAGTTGCAATTCTTGAGGCTCCCGTTAAACCTAATGTGTGCTCTTGCCTGTATGCGCCGTAGCCTCCTCAGAAGCTTTCGGACGGACTGATTTCGCAGGCTTCGGGTTAAGCCTATGCCTGGGCTGGGCGTGTCGAGAAACGACCGCATTTTGTTTACAGAGGAATAGTCTATGTCCAGAATGCTCTTGCCATTTAGCGCATGCTCAAACTCGTGCTTTTTTTCTTTAGAGCGATGCGGAGGGCGATATATGCGCTTTTTGTACGATTTATAGTGCATTTTTCTTGGAGGCTCTTTCTTCTCGTCCAGCTCATCATACGGAGGAGGCTCTTTCTTCTCGTCCAGTGCTTCATACGGAGGCGGTGCATCCTCTTTTAGCGCTGTGTACGTGTAAGGAGGCGGTGCTTCTATGGCCGCATGCGCATGGCCCGTCTGCCCATACATGTACTTGCCTGTAGATAAAATGTGGGCCAAGTCGTTCTTTACGGAGTTTTCCTTTGTCATGTCGACTAAGTCTCTCAGCATCAGAAAAGCCCTTCGCATATCCGGCGTGCCATACATAAACCCCATGGAAGACCATTCCTCTCGGCACGGCTCCGCCGTGATGTATCCCATATAAGAATTGTTCAGGCAAATCGCCTGGTTGTGTTGCGGCTTTATGAAGAACCCGCCCTGCTGCCTTGGCACAAAAACCCACATGCTGCTGCACATTGGCTCATTTTGCGGAACAATCGAGCGCACCTTAAGATTACACAGCCCAAGGGCCTCTCCTTTTTCTGTCAAGATTTTGACGGGCAGCCTGTGCTCGATCGGGTTTTTGCTGTTCTGCGAAAAGTACTGAATTCGAAAATCCGGGCTTGGGTTTGTCTCGCCGTGCGACTTCATAAAAAAAATGGGCTCTTCGCGGTAGCTTTTCCACGTGAGAAAGCTGTCCGGCTCGCTATAGCTCCACACACTTATGCCTTCTGTCCTTTCCTGCAGCGGCATTGCATGTATGGCGTATACCATCGCCATTGCATGCATGGCGCACGCCATTGTCTTTCCAAAGCCTGTGCTCATACAATGATAACTCGAAACAAACTTGATTTTCTGAAAATGAAACAGGAAAAAAATCACTCAATCACAGCGAAGCAGTGAGAGCCAATTTTTGGTGTCAGCCAGAAGCATGCATTTTCCGCGCGCCACAGGCTTCCTTAAGAAACAGCCCAAAATTCAAATGTGTCCAACTGCCGTCCGCTTTATTCTATTCTCAGAAGTTTAGGCTCTTGGCATGCTGTGCAGGTCTCCAAAAACAAAAGGCTGGGGTTCTCTACTGCCTGCTTATGATGCGCAGGACACGAAGAGTTTTCCGCAAATACGGGAATGCGCAGAAATCCAATGTGTTTATTATTGGCGATGTGAGGCCTGGCGGAACGGTTTGAGGTGCTTATATCGCTCTAGCATAGTCTTGCACAGTTGGGTTGTTTGGGCTTAAATGCCTTGGGTACATGCTTACTGTGCTTGGGTCTCTGCTGCTAGACAGGAGACTTCGCGCATTTGGTGAGTGTATATCATTCGGGCCGTTTGGGCTTTTCAGAAGTGAGTTCTGCCTCCACGGCTGGTTCGACAGCGGCGCGCCACGGGGAACCAGCGGCTGCGTATACGGGCTTATGCCAGGACTGGCTGCATATCCAGGGCTGTCTACTCCACGCGCAGCATATGGATCTGAGTAGTTCGAGTTGAGCGACACCAGCTCAGGAACAGAACTGCGCCTGTCAGGAGATGAGAGCGGGTTTAAAGTGTTTCCGTTTGGCGGGAACGGGCCTGGGGAGGGTTTTTCGGATGCTGTGGAGCCCTGCATGCTAGAAAAGCCGTCCTGCATTGGCCGGTGCATGGCAATTTGGTCTAGTCTGTCAATGTCTGTTGCTTCTCCCGGCACAACGCTCCCTGTGGTTATGATCTGCTGGATGTGCGAGACAGACCTTACCAGCGCAAGCACCAGAAGCCTCAGGTTATCAATCTTCTGATCCATTCTATCAAGCATTTCGAATATTTTGTTTTCTGCGGGCGAGCCTGGCTTTATTTTGCCAGTCCCGCTTGCGGAGGACTGCTCTTCAGCTGAAAGCTGGATTCTTCGGATTATGAACTTTTGCTCAGGCTTTTCGGGCTTGCACAGGGACAGCTTCAGGTTAGACCCTAGCACAGTGTTGGTAGGCCCGTCTTTTCGGGTGATGGACTCGAGCGGAACCAGAGTAAGGCACATGTTTGGGCTGTCCATGGAGTATATCACGTGGTAGTCTCCCTGTGTCATAAGAGTAAGATGCCATAGCTGGGTTTCTATGTTATTCTGCTGCCTTGGCTCCATTGTAATGAACTTGTCCTTGAAACCGGTCATGTAGTTTCCTGCTTTGTTTTGGAATGTGAATATTTGCTTTTCCTTCTCTAGCTCGCTGCTTTCCTTGGCGCTTTCGTAGAGGTTGGACTTGTCTTCCATGATGAACGTCATGCTGTCCAGGTCGATGGGCTGGTGCACGTCTGTGTTTTGCGAGTACTTTTCCGTTGGCTCTCTAGGGTTGGAAATGTACTTCTGCAGCTTAAAGTTCACAGCAGATATGTACATGCTGTTCTTGTAGATTTCCGGCTCTATTATAATTCTGGAGTGGGCCGCCAGCGCCGTTGAGGCCGCTAGAAGGCCGAGAATGGAAAGCCTGTGCATGTGTGTCTTCCATTTCATTTGATTTACGTGTTTATGTGGCGCCCACTTTAGTATAACTACTTTCAAACATAAGTTTCACTTTTAAAACATTGTGCAAGAAGGCAAACCACACTTCTGCACACGCACCCTATCAAAGCTCCGCCAATCCCGAACCAAAACACCTGAAAAACAATGCACACATCCAAAATCACTAACGGAAAGCAATGGCCACGTGCCACAAGCACGCTCTGTGCCCAGTTTTGAGGACAAGCACAGAGATACGCTTCCCTTCGCGCTTCCGAGTGCGCACCCTGCAGCTTTACTGTGCTGCCCTAGAAATGCAGCGCGCGGCGACTTTGCACGCAGATTCGAGCCCAAGCTGGCTCCCAATGCAAAAATAATCGCTTTTTGTTTTTCTCTTGCTGTGCATAAAAGAAGAAAAAAGTGCCTGCGTCTGCAAATTTCATGAAAATTGCGCCAAAGCAAGACAGGCCGCACACACAGCATATTCCTCAAAATCATGCAGGCGCCTACATTTTTTAAATATTTTCTGCCTATGTTAGTATTTGAACAGCTTCAGCGACTTCAAGTATAATAAAACATTTATTGCAGATACAATTATCATTTACAAGCACACGCAAACATCTAATATGTGCAGTTAGAATCTTCTACTTAAAGGAGGGTGGTGCTAGTAGTCGTATGGAGTGTGTCTTTTGGTAAGTGAACCGGGGTATTCTCTGTGCCTTGGGTGCGGCGCATGGTCGTAGTCGTCGTATCTGTCTCTTGAGTGGCGCCTTTCCTCGGGAATGTGTTCGCCATGTCTGTGCAGGCGCCCCTCGGAAGTGCCCACAGGGTAGCATTCAAGAGTTCTTCCTTCTTTGTCTCTCTTCAAAGAGGGCCTCCGGGATCTGTATGGATAGTCTCTGTCCTCTTCTGGGTCTATGCAGTACTCGTTTCTTTGCGGGCGCCTTCTTCTGTCTGAATGGTAGCCTCTTTCAGGGTAGCCGTCGTCCAGCGACCTTCGTCTTCTGGGGCCGTGGCCCATATGCCCTCTACTCGGGCGGTCTCTATGCCCTCTGTCAGAATAGTGCCCTCTTTCGGGATAATCTCTGTCGTGTGGATGGCCTCTGTCAGAATAGTGGCCTCTTTCGGGATAATCTCTGTCGTGTGGGTGACCTCTGTCGTGATAGCCATCGTCTGGCGGTCCGTGCCTTCTTTGGTCGTGGCGCATGTGCCCTCTGCCTCCATACGAGGAATCTCCAAATCCTGGGGCCCCCTGCATTCCGGCCTGTTGCACGTGCTTCATAATCATGTCCTGCAGCTGCTGCGGGCTCATGTTTGACATGGAATCTGACGTTTGCCCGCACAGGCCCAGTTCGCTGAATGTTTCATTGCAGAAAGACTTCAGAGTTTTAACTATGTCTTTAAGGCTTTCAATGTTGTTTCCTAAGTCTCGAAGGTTTATCACGTGCCGGCCTACTGCGCCAGGTCTTCCACCAATAAGCCCGTTAAGGCCGTTTCCCCACCCGGGCCCATTGTTCATTCCGCCGCCGTTTCCATTGTTACCCCAGCCATTTCCATTTCCTCCGCCGCTGCCCCAGCCGTTACCATGGCCATTTCCATTGTTACTCCAACCATTTCCATTTCCATTGCCCCAACCATTTCCATGGCCGTTTCCATTTCCCCAGCCATTGCCATTATTGCCCCAGCCATTTCCATTTCCGTTGTGGCCCCAGCCGTTGCCGTTGCCATTGCCCCAACCGTTTCCATTGCCATTTCCATTGTTACTCCAACCATTTCCGTTTCCATTGCCCCAGCCGTTTCCATGGCCGTTTCCGTTGTTATTCCAACCATTTCCATTGTTACCCCAGCCGTTTCCGTTTCCATTGTTACTCCAACCATTTCCGTTGCCATGTCCACCCATCCAGGGCTGATTATTTGGCCCGGAAAGGCCGTCGTGCGGGTCTCTTGGCCCATTCCAGGGCTGTCTGTTATAGTCCCAAGAGGGGCTTGTCCCGTGCGGGTTCTGCCAATATCCTCCATTTCCATATCCGTCTAAGCCGTCGCCTCTGTTGTTATTTCTGTCGCTTTCGCTGGGGTCTGCTCCTGCGGACCCGTCTGTCATCCAAGAAGGAAGATTTCCCCCGCCCCCGCTTCTCATTTCGTACTCCAGAAGCTGGCCGGGCGACAGATAGAGCGCCTTGTACGGATCGTCTGCAACTTCAATCATGTCAAATCGGTGCTCTACTGTGCTGTTTCCGCACGACTCCAGCTTCAGCACACCGTTGTCCGTTGACCTGACCAGGCACGAGCCGGAGTCGCTGTCTTTGATTTTGTACCCATTCACGAACGGCTTAATTCTCCACGTGAGAGTGTAGGAGCTTGTGTTTGTGTCTGCGTTGCACGCTCTTATCATGTAGTCGCTTTTGCTTGCGCACAGAATCTTCTGTCTTTTGTTTTTCAGCGAGGCCGGCTGGCTGCCTGGCTTTATGAGTATTTTATACTCGTTTTCGCCCGAGGTCTTTGAAAGCACCATAATGGCATTTATGTGCTGCTTGTTCTTCTTTATGGCCTGCAGGTTCAGCAGGCGCACGCCTGTCACATGGTGATCGTATATGAGCCTGTACGTTGGCTGCGAAGTGTTGTATATCGTCACCTCTTTGTTGTTTAGGGTGCTCAAATAGTTTCCGTCTGGGTATGTTTCTCCCGTGCTTGATGATATTCCCAGGAACCTCAAGAAGCTTGCCCATTTCATGGAAAATGGATTGTCCGCCTCTATATATCCTCCTACGCTGTTTTACTGTGGATAAGACTATTTTCATTACTGATATGCGCCTATTCGTCTATTTCGTGTTTTAGATTGTGTTTGTTTTGCAGCTTTTGCGCGTCCGCAAATAGTTCCATCTTCGATTTGGCTCGTTTCACCCGGAGATGTCACGCTCTGAAGCCCTCGCTGCGCAGCCTCTTTCAACACTTTCTGTGCATAGACAGGCCCTCTGCTTCTCGCCTTTTACGACTCCTGTTCTGGCGCTTGTTTGGTCGGGCGCTCTATCTCCGCTCCGATGCGACCAGAAGAGTCGGTGTGAGCTGGTCGCCCCACTTTTTTATCTCCTTCATCTCCTCCGGGCTCTTGCAGTGCTTCAGGTATCCATTCCACACGAGGTTTTTTAGGCCTGCACGCTCCGAGATCTTTCTTTTGACCCGGGTCGCGAACCCAGAGGCCGTTTCGCCCTTTTCAATTTCCACGGGGGCCATCCACCAGACAGAGACCTCTGTGCGCCATCTTGTTATAAGGTATATGAAGTGCTTGCTGAACGTCTGCTTCCGCGTGTTCCAGTACGGGTCTCCCAGCTTCTTATTGTACTTTATTGCGGCCGGATACACCTTCACGCCCAAGTCGAATGCGCCCTTTTGAAACATTACTGTGTACTCGTTGTTGACGCACGTGCCCTCTGGAAAGACAATTATGGATGCCTTTTGGGTCATTTCTCGGATGCCCTCTTTCACCTCTCGGCGGTTCGCCTTTATGTTTCTCTCAAACTGCACGGACCCGCTTACAAGCTTCAACAGCATCGACATAAAGCCTCCCTGCCGCTGCGCAATCACCGAGTGCGAGAACCGGTGGCTGCTAAGAATCAAATAGTCCATGTACGTCGTGTGGTTGGAAACGTATATGTGCGGAATGCAGGGCCGGTTCTTTATCCCGTGGTGCTGCACGCGTATCCCCATGGCAAACAGCAAGAGCTTGCACCCCACCGTGACCAATTTGTTGCTTCCAAACCCCCGAAACACGCCGCGAGACAGTATTATCAGCACGGAAAAGAGAAGCAGTATAAACAGAGTGGCAGGCAGCCGCAGAGGAAGAATCAGCCCATATCTGCATATAAGACTCATTGTGTATGAAAACGTAAATTCGGGTTTTGTTTCATTTTGCTGGAAGCACAGCGAAAATTCGTCCCGGATCAGAGCTTTCCCTGCTAGAGCAGTGCAGTACAAAATATCCCGCAGTATTGGAAGCGCTTTCTTTTTCTTTCTGTTTGCCTGGTTTACCGTGTCCTCTTTTTTCATAAATAAATTTTAATGCCTCTATTTATGCTTCTCTTTAATAAATGTGTGTAATTTGCGCTTGCTTTTTCTTATGCGCATGGGGCTTGTGGTTCTAGAGATTTTTTTTGAGCTTATGTGGCACATCGTCAGCTTCTTATTTGCCCTGTGGATGACATACGCTGCGAGAGAGCTATTTTTGGACTATATTTCTCCGAGGTGGCGGCTTTCGGAAATTTCCACCATGCTTCCGCCGACGTGCTATATACGCCCCCCAGCGAAAAGGTCGTACGAGCAGTGAGCTTGTCTTCTTCAGGGTGCTTCGGCTGCGCAAGACAGGGCTGTTTGAAAGCACGGTTTTGTGTTTGGGCGCTGTCTAGCCGCTATTTGGGAAGAGCATGCGAAAATGCGAAAAACATTGGCTTGGCCTATTTCAGCAGGCGCTCTGGGCGGGCGGCGCCTTCATATGATCATTCTCTTTCTGTCTTCTTTCGCCTTTTTCCCCCATCCTGTTTTTATGTAGACCAGCTCTATCAGCAAGAGAATAAGGTATATACCTATAACCGCCAGGCGTATTCCCACTTCCAATATTCTGTACGCGTTTTCTAAGCCCTGTTCTGAGGGTGTTTCGTAGTTCCTGCTTGAAAGAAGGTCTGGAAAGGCTTTTTTTCCTACGTAGTAAGCTAGAATGAAAGAGGTCATTAAAATTGTGCCGATCTGTATTAAAACATTGTTTCCCTTCATTTGCTTAATAACATTGAGGACTATAAGAATCGCGTACATGGCGCCTACAGTCAGGGTGATCCACAGGTATGCTCCCTGCATGTACATGTATATGAAATACGAGACAAAGAACTGTATGTTTAGCTTGAAGAATGTGGAGGTCGATCTTTCTATGGCCTTCCGCGTGTTATAGCTGGCGCCGTACGACTTGTAGTAGAACCACCCGATTTCCGCGCGCAGCTCGTTTGTGAAGCAGATGATTCCCACGACAACGCATCCGCACAGCACCAACAGCACCGTGGAGGAAATGTACATAGCCGAGAACAGCTCGATCGACATCCTGAAGGACACAATCATCTGCAGCACGGAGAGAATGCTTGCAAAAATTGTTGAGAACATAACCTGAAAAATGTCCCTCTCCAAAAGCCCCTGAATTGCAATAAGGGCGTACGATGAAATAAAGTTGGCGTGGCAAACTATGGTTATTCCAGACTCGTACTCGTGTATGTAAAAGTCACTATCAGGGTCTGTAAAAAAAATTAGAAAAAGCGAACATATGTGAGCAATGCATATAACTCCAATAACCAAAATAAGAGAAATCAGTTTTCTTGAAATCACTCGTCTTGTTGTGTATAGGTTTACTCCGGCATTCTCCATATGCATCAAATGAAATAAACACAGCAAATAATTGCAAAATTAATTCGAGCTGGCTTGCGCAAATGCACAGCCCGCCTCCCCAGCTGCCCTGTCCCGAAAAGGGCGCCCTTCTCTGCAAGGCGGCCTGAAGTATGTTCTTTGGGAATGCCTCCGGCTTGGTCTAGCGCGGTTTTAGCACGATAAAAGCCTAAAGGCGCGCCAACATGGGGCATTTGCCCGCATTTTCCAGGACCTCGCGGCGCCTTTAACTGAGTCTTTTCCAGAGCCTCCCTGTACAGCCCACGCCAGGAAGCAAAACTTTACCGGCACATGCGCCTGGGTGCTTCCTCCTGCCACGTGATTTTTCAGGGTCTTCTGCAAATTAGGCCTCTCCCGCTTTCTGGGGCACTCAGGGCTTTCTATGGCTATTTAAATTTTATTTTCTTGCTTTTAATTTTAGGCTAAATGACGCATGGATATAAGAACAGCGGAAGAGGAACACAATCTGAGCGAGAAACCAGAGCCAGTAATGCAATCGAGCTGAGAACCCAAAAAAGAGACGGCATGCTTCAGAAAAGAAGAACCATGACCTCATCTGGAGAAACAAACAGCAGCAAGCTGAGCATACTTGCAGAGAAAATCAACTCAAAAAACCCAGAAGACATTGTCCAGGGAGTGACCGAGTTTCGAAGGCTTCTCAGCGCAGCCAAGTGCCCGCCAATTGACTTTGTTGTTATGAACGGCCTTACCCCGACTTTTTCCAAGCTCATAAACCCAGAAAACCCCATTTACACGACAATGCCCGAGGAGACTGCTGTAAGAATAATACACGAGGCTGCCTGGGTGGTCACAAACATAGCCTCTGGAAGCACTGAGCAGACGATGGCAGCCGTCAAGGCAGGCGCTGTTCCCAATTTAGTGAAACTTCTTTACTTGGACAACATGCAGCTGCAGGACCAGGCCGTCTGGGGAATCAGCAACATATCTGGAGACTGCGAGACAGGAAGAGATGCCTGCATTGATGCGGGCGCAGTTGGGCCCGTAATAAAGCTGGTGGAAATGGAGCTTGGAAAAGTGGGGGAAATAAACATCCCTTTTCTGAGAAACCTCACGTGGGCATTCAGCAACTTAAACCGAGGAAGGAACCCGCCGCCGTACATAAAACACACGGAAATGTGCTTGCCTGTCATAATAAAGCTTATAGAGGTAAATGACACTGAAACCATGGTAGACGCGTACTGGGCACTCAGCTACATGTGCGACGCAGGAATAGCGCAAGCCGACATGATCATTTCCACCGGAGTCCTGGCCAGCTGTGCACACAAGCTTGCAGCTTACAATCACACAGCCCAGCAGGGAGACACCATGCAGCTGCACCTGAAAGAGCCCATTCTCTCGCCGATCATACGGATCCTTGGAAACATTGCAACGTACGATGAGAAACAGACAGACTACATTGTAAACCTGGGCACAGTGCAGATACTCCGAGAGCTGTTTACGCTGCCTTTTGAGAACAAGCGGTCCTCCAAGATAAAGAGAGAAATATGCTGGGTCATTTCTAACATAACAGCAGGAACCCCGTCCCAGGTGCAGGAGGTCATAAAGCACGGATTCCTTGACATTCTTGTAAACACCATGAAAACAGCCGACATGCAGATGCGAGTAGAGGCGTGCTGGGCCATATGCAATGCCGTGGTCCAGCTGAACGAGGCTGTTTCGTACGCAAAAGAGGTTGGCGAGGCAGGCGCCATAATGGCTTTCTCCAAGTTTTTGCCCTCCATCATGAACGACGCAAAACTGGTCGCTGTCGTTTTGGACGCAATCCACAGCCTCCTCGCGTGGGGAGAGAGCGACTCCGTGGGCGGCGAGAATATGATCGCAACAGAAATTGAAAGCTGCGACTTGCTCGAGCACATTGAGGAGCTGCAGTCGGCAACAAGCTACTCAGTCGCGAGCAGGGCTGAGGAAATCATCAGAAAGTACTTCGAGGGCCAGTAAGTAATAAATAGACATAGTGCTCCGGAAGTGCCGTGTTTGGGCGCAGCAGCAAATAAAATCAGCGCGGCACAGGATAGCACGTTTTTGCTGCTCCCCGCGGGTCTGCACGCGCTTTCTGCAGTCTGTTATTCCGCGTGCACAGGTCAAAAAAATAAACCCTTCAAAATCTGCTATTTTGGAGAGTTTGTTCCAGAATGAGGCAGAAGGTGCAAGATCGAGCCCTTGCGGAAGAGCCCGCATAAACGCAGCCTCTTTGCCCTACAGCAAGCGAGCACGGAAGCCAGAGGGCGTCTTGGGCCAGCGCTTTTGCGAAGAATGGAGTATGGCTGGGACAGCCGCATAGCAGCAGACGATTAAGCACTTGCGTGTCTGTGCAGGCTGAAATGAATAAAACAGTGTTTCGAATAGCTTGAATGCCCGCACTGCAGATTCTGCTTGAGAACAGCGCAGGAGCGAAGACCCAATTAAGCGCGCGTTTAAGCAGGCGGAGCGTGAGACAGACGTCATTTGGTCGCATTGTTTCTCTGCTAAGCCCGAATCGCGCGTATTTCTATTTATGCGCAGAGACTTCTGCAGAACTTTTATTTTTATGGGAAAGAAATGGGGCACACAAGACTCGCTCCCCTCCAGAGCCAGAGCCATAACAAAGCGAATCATAGAGCAAGCACTGAACGTTGAGAATCCCCTCAATCCGCAGAACGGCAGCTATTTCTGGGTTTCTGAGCTGATAAAAAAAGAGCCCACAAGCACCCTCCGGAGAGACCTCCAGCAGCACATTTCCAAGCAAATAAGCGCATGGTACGAGAAGCAAATGTGCAAAAGCAGAAACCAAAAAGTGTCCATTTTCTACATGCAAATAATGTATTTTCTCTATGCAATACAGTTTGACACGGACATGTGTGCAGCCCCAGAGGAAAGTTCGCTCTTGAAGGTGGAGATGTCGTATGCTACTCTGGTGTCGCTGGCCAGCAATAACATCCCAAAGGAAATCGAGGAAATTCTGGCGTATTTAATATACAAGAAAGACCTTCGAATAATCATGAAGTGGGACGAGTATGTGCACATGTCTAGCCCGGAAATACGCAAGGCCGAGGAGATTTTGGATAAATACTTCAGCGCAGTCCCCTCAAAGAAAACGAAGGAGGCACTTCAAAAGTACACGCAGGCGGTGAACGCGTACCTCGTCATGCAGTCTATTCTGAAGTAGTGGAAACGATCGGCTGGCGCGCGCTGCTCCACACTGTAACAAAACACACACTATTTGCAGCGAATACGCGCCAAATGCACACCTTTGGGGTAAGCTCCCACGAAAAGCCAAAAGCCCAGGAAATTAACGGGCGGGCACTTCTTCTGGCCGAATAATAGCCCGAATGCGCACAGATAAATTCGTGCATTCCAAAAGGGCGTAAAAAGCCCAGTCTACGTATATAGCAAGTCGGAACTGATCAATTCCGCGCCTCCCGGGACAGGCTTCTACAGTATTTGTGCTGCCCACAAATTTGCGCGATAAGATCAGTTGGAAACGTGAGAAAGACGGCAGTTCCGATCCCGTGCTGGTGCCAGCCTTTTTGTACAGTTTTAGTTTTAATGACAAAAAGCAGCCAGAATCCCACAGAAAGAAGCGAGCTCTGGCATTATAAAAATATTTTTTTTAAGTAGGATAAATGAAAACTGATTTTGTAATAGTGCTTGCGCTGTTTATGTCTTGCATAAATGCAAGAATTTGCCTTGATGATCTGATAGGTATACAAAAGACTGAAGTAGATGCTGGACTAATTATAAATCCAAAGGGCCCACTAAACATGCTGCGCGGATACATATACTCTGATCTGGGGTACACCTATAACAAGAGGTTTCTTTCCCCGGAAATAGAAACAAGCTATTCTCTGTCCTGGGGTGCCGGCGCGCCCCAGTACACAAGAAGTGCAACGAAAGACCGCGCATACTCTTCGAATGAATTCGCAGAGTTGGCCATTTTAGAGCCCAGGACCTATAGCCAGAAGTACCACACCGCGCTTATAAAGATGTTTCCCTCCGTGGACGGATCTTCTCTGTCGATTCATGTCGCGAAAAAGGACTCTTTTATTCGGGTCCTTCAAGACATCTGCACTAAAGAGCAGGCCCGTACAGTTCTTGCGTCTTTTCTTCTGCTGTCCGAGGGCGTAAAAGTCCCCATTCTTGCGTCGAAAAAGAAAATTGTGCTGTGGAAGGACACACAGAGCGAGAATCTGTACAAGGAGGCGCCGAAGTACAAGAAACAGGATATTATCGACGAGCTGGCCGTCCTTAACATTAGCCTAAAAGTGGGAAGCAGCAGCCTCAGACAAACTGACTTTTTCAATGTCGCTTCTTTTTTCATACAGAACGAAGCCCCAGGAAACTTCCCCTGCACAGCCGAAGAGTTTGAGACGAACCAATTTTTGGACACTCCGCAGTTCCTGATACAGGCGTATCTTTTCGAGTTCCTGCAGAGCAAGGAAGATGCTTTGCAGTTTGCAAAGAGCGTGTACTGCTTGCTTAAAGGAATCGGGGCCTCCATAGAGCTTGCCTCCGGGAAAGAAGACATTTTCAACCGGTGTTTTTTGGCGTCTGAGGAGAAGAGCCAGGCAGTGGAGTATTTGGGCCCAATCGTGAATCTGCAGAAAGCCCTGAAAACGCTCGAATGGTTCCCATTCCCCGGGGAAAACACACTTTCCCAGCCGATGGTTGTGAGGCATTACAGCAAAGGCTCTAACGAATTCACCAAGGAGGTTTTCAGCAACTGCACGGAACTGGGCCTTTTCGCACTTTTCTGCTGTCTGGCATACGACCCAAATAAGAAAGTCTACAACATAGACAGATCTTTGGGCGAAAGAAAAGAACTGGAGGCAGTGAAGGATTTGAGGGCATTCTTCAACTCGGGAGTTGCAGACCCAAAGAAGAACGCCACCGTAGAAATGCTGGAAGAGTGGAATAAGGTCATGAATGACCTGACCTGCACCCGCATAACGTACGCCATGCCAAGCAAGTGCGGGATACGAGCAGGCGCTTTTAACGCCCTTTATGCATTTGCTGAAGTGACAGGACAGCTGGAAACCGAGCAGGAAAAGTTGGACAGGCTCATGGCAAAGCTGGCTTCTTCTGAAGAGCCTGCAGAGAAAGTTTTGGCGGAATTTGAGGAGTACGTTTCCGGCCTGCTTCTCCCCCTCTCTATAAACAGAAACGTGAAAGTCGTTTTTTCAGATCTGAAAAAATGCATGCGAACAGACAAAGTATACGACGTATTTGGAGAAATTTCCTTGGAGTTCGGACACGAAGGGTTTGATGTGCGCCAGGGCCTGAAAATTCGCTTTTCTTTAGGGCACGTGGCAATAAACGTCCTGCCAATTTCCGCCGTTTCCTCCGAGCAGGATTTTGAAGCCCTCTTTAAGACAGGCATATACAGAGCACAGAATGACTTTTCAAGCTGCCTGTTTTTGCGGTACCTGAACCATTGGGTGTGCAAGAGCGCGAAGAGCAATGAAATGGAGGGCATGATCAAGGCCCTGGCCAAGGAAACTGCAGTGAATCCGTCCCCCAGCAGCATCAGAAAGGCTCTCATCCTGGGGCACGCCCTCCTAGAAACGGAGAGAAACCTCTTCGCGATGGAGTTCTTCAAGAACGCCAAGGGGAAGTGCATAGACCTCCCGGAAAGTCACTTAGGCCTTCGCCTGGCCCGAAACCTCCTGGGAAATAGATCGCTGGAAAATCTTGTTACATCCATAGAGAGTCTGAAGGGCTTGGTGCAGCTGGACTTACTCGACAAAGTAAGAACAAAAATCACCGTTAACAATGCCATCCAAGGAGCCCTGCATGTGGATATGCAGGATATCGTCTCCCTGTGGGAATATGCTGAAGAAGGAAGCAATGCAGTGGGTGATATAGTTGTCGGGCACCTTAGGGCGTACAAAGAAAAGACTGGATTGCCTCTTTCCAAGAACTTTATAATAAAGTTTAAGCACACGTTGGACTCCATATTCAACTGCCTGCTTTGCTCAGATAAAACCCTCGAGCACATAGACGAACTTGCCACGGCTGTTTTGGAAGTAGATTGTCCAGAAGACCTTCCAGAAGCAGTATCTCTCAAGAATGCGCATATGATTTTCTGGTTTATCTCTGCCCTGGAGAGGAGAGAAGCCCATCCAGAGCTGATATCTCCGCTTTTCAGGAGAATCGAGTTTCATGATGCGGATAAGTCTTCTGCAATGCTTATCAGCAGCATGCGATTTATGTTCATGGGAGACACCTTAGATTACACACTCCGCCTTTTAGAGGAGTGCCAAAGTCTTTTCCTGGAGAGCGTGGAAGACCAGAAAAAGCTCGCCCAACTCCAGAGCGTGATTAAGGCCATATACATGCCTTCTTGCGCTGAGAGCAAAGAATAGCTCCCCCCTGCAAAGTAAGAGACAATTTTCCGGTGCTGTTGCAGCCCTGAAATAAAAGCCTGAAAATCTTTTTATCGCGTAATGTTTTCATTCCTGGGAGCATCTGAACAGTCTAAACAGCCCACAGAGAAGCAGGATTCGGGCACTGCAGGCCTGTATAAGCCAGCACTTCCCCTCCTGCATCTGCCCAATGAAATTTCTCCGTGGGCTTTTGACCAATTGTTTCCACTATATATATACGGGCGAGATACTCCTTATGGAAGAAAAAAAGAATCTGGCGATTATAGATAAAGTGCTAGAGGACACTGGAATAGTCAGGTACAACGCCCTTAAAAACAGGTTCAGGAGCGAGTGCAATGACTCTCCTACGCTTCTGTGCTTCTACAAAAACACGCCTGCCTCTTCCGAGGAGACCTCTATAGACCTATATCGTGCAAACCTTCTCAAGCTCAGAAGAAAGATAGAAGAGAGAAAGGTCCGCGTACTCTCGCACGCAGGCCGCGAAACCATCACGGAAACACTCAGCACAACCGTCTCCGAGGCACTTGTGAGTGTTTCCCCTAACGGAACAGCCACTCCCTTGCAGCTGGAGTCGATCCCTTCGTATAACCTCAGCGTAGACAATGTCGGGTCTTTGAACGACTTCAAGTATGCGACTGTTTTGGGCGCTGCCCGCGTGATTAAGAAGAGCAAGCAGTACGAGTCCGAGCTAAAACTGGAAGGGCATACGCTTACAACCACGGTAATAGACAAGAAAAATGACATGAAAACGATAATTGATGTTGACGTTACTCTTGCAAAACTCTTTCTCGTCGTGAAGAATAACGACTCCTTTTTCAGCTGCATGAATAAGCCCACCAGATACGTGCATTTGCACAAGGAAATTGACGTAATGAACATTACAGTGGGAAAGCCCTCGCAGATCATCCTGAAAAACGTCACGAATGGGACACTTTTCAAAGAGGCCGTAAAGTCCTACGAATTTGCAGTTCAGGACGTATACGGGAATACAGTGCTCTACAAAACCCAGTCCCCGGACGAGTTCATTCGGTGGCTTCTTCTCATTCGCTCGAGAATGTACACGGTCGACCGGTGGAGCAAGGACGAGCTCCTAAACTCCATTCGCAGGTAGGCCTCTGTAAGAAAGCTGCGGCTAGGCCGGAAAAAGCCACGGAAAATAAAGACGAATGAAAACTTCAGCTGAAAACACTCAGCAGCAGGAGAACAGCCTGCGTCTGCAGCTTATTCCCAGAGTTTCGCCTCCTTTTGTGCTCGCATGTTTTCCTGGGCCAGAAGTACTCGTACACTCTGCGAAAACTGAAATATTTTTGTCTTTTATACTTTGTGTTTTTAAAGGGGATTTCTGTGTTCTCGGCTCTAGGCTTTTCTCTCAGGGCAGATTTTTTCTCTTTTTCAGGGACTGTTTTAACGGTTATGCGGTTATCCGCTCTGTGCTTTGTTTTTCACGGGCATACCCGGATGTTTTGCGACTTTCGGTCTTTCTATCTGCGGGGAACCCCAGGAAGTAAGTGAATAAATGGAGTGAGAATGTGCTTCTTCTTTCGCATATGCACTCCCTGATCATTTCTCTGTGGGTTCTTTGTTTTTCGTTTGGAATGTGTATTTGTGTGCAAAAAAGAGTACACTTTTCTTTTTGTTCTCAGGCACTGCATTGGAGAACCCTTCAATTTCTCGCGGAAAAAGTCCCCTTTGCAACGACTCCTGCATGCAGAGCTGCACCTGCGCAACACAGCTCTTCAAAGGCACGCTCTCTCACGCGATATTTTTGGGGTTGTTTTTCCAAGACCCTGAGAAATCCCTTTCCGCGCGCGAAAGCGTCCAAAGAGTGCACTCCCCGGGCACAACAAGTGCACTCCCCCGCATAAGCACTTCCCAGGGCCTGCGAGCTTATCAGAAAATATCCGAATAACCCAAAATTTTCGCACTTTTCTCCAATCTCACGTCCTGGAATTTCACATGCAGATATCCCGCCCCGCGCCCAAACACCCCACCAAATTCCATCATCTCCCCTCAGAAGCCGCCCTCGTTTCTCGCACTGGGCTTTCTAATTACCGCATAAATATTAAAAAGTTTTTTATGAGTATATGGGCCTTTTGAAAGAAAGCAAAATACTCACGTGGGAGGAAACCCAAAGACACTCTCCAGAAATGAAGAGAAGAGGAATCGAGCACTTCATAAAAGTGTACCACAACAAAGTAGCGCCAAAAATCAAAGAATTTCTTTGGGGAGAAGAGCTTGAGCAGCATATTATCGCAAAAGTCAACAAAAACTGGATTCTTCTCCTGGGAGCTGACGAAATCCTGAGAGATACATTCCCAGAAAACAGCTTGCTCCACCCAGAATACGCAGGATACATGCTAGAAAGCACCCCAGCCGGGCCGTATGCTCCAGGATTCCACGTTTTAGCCCGCCTGGAGGAGAACCTGGAAGCCAGAAGAAAGTCCCTCATGCGGTCACTCCACGAGAAATTTGGCCCAGACGTTTCTCTCCTTTTTCTGCCTGCTTTCCCCCTTTTGGGCACCCCCTGGGCCTTCGGAACAAGCTCCCTCGCCCCAGAAGAGTGGCTTACGCGCTGGGAAAGTGCAGGAAATTTTTCAGAAATTCCCTCGCCCTCCAATAAATCACCGAAAACTCCCTTGGAAAAAGCCCTGGAAAAAGCAAAATCCCCAACTTTTAAAATCACAAACAGCTTGCACTTCCCAGACTTTGCAATAACCCAGCATAAAAGATTCTTTGGATTTTCGCAAAACATTCCCAAAAGAAAAGGCGTTTCCCTGCACCACGAAATACCAGTAATGGGCTCGGAAAAGGGAAACCCCCAAAGTCCCGCAGTAATTGACAGTATGGGCCAGGGGATGGGATGTGCCTGCTTGCAAATTACGATGCAGTGCGAGTCCGTCCATGAAGCAAGGACTCTATACGATAATATTGCAGCTATTTGTCCGTTGCTTCTTTTTATGACAGCAGCAACCCCATACGCAGACGGAAAGCTCCTGAAGACAAGCACGAGATGGGAGATTGTCGGGGCTTCAGTCGATTGCAGGCAGCCACAGGAGACTCACATTAGAAAGAGCAGATACTCGTCAGTTGATATTTATACATCAATTCTATCAAAAGATCTTGATATAGCATATAACGATATTAATCCGCCCCTGGAAATATGCACTTTCAACAGGCTAATTGAAGCAGGAGTTGACTTTCCCATGGCAAGGCACATCTCCTCCCTTTACATTCGAGACCCCGTTTTGTGCTATAGTGATGCCTCCCCAGAAGACGACTTTGAGAACATCCAAAGCAGCAACTGGAGGAGCATGCGCCTGAAGCCCCCAAAAGCAGCAGCTCCTGAGTCGGCAAATTCAGGCTGGCTTGTAGAGACTAGGCCGATGGAAATCCAGCCAACTTCCTTCGAGAATGCTGCCTACAGTGTTTTTGTCGTTGTTTTTTCGAGGATGATTCTCTCCCTGAATATTAACGTGCTGATCCCCATTTCAAAAGTAGACGAGAACTTTGAGGCTGCGAACAACCCGAAAAACCCGGAAGACCCTGTCCAGTCGGAGAGAGAGCAGGTCTTTTGGTACCGAGCGAACATTTTCTCGCAGGATCTGCCCGTTTTAAAGCAGGGAACTGTCCAGGAGATATTTCTAGGGGCGGGCGAGTACGTGGGAATATTCGGGGCCCTGGAGATCTATCTGAAGGAGTACGCTGAGGCGGATACGGACTGCATTATGCCGTACCTGGAATTCCTGCGGGAAAGAGTCAGCGGAAAAAAGTGTAGTGTTTCTGCTTTTATTAGACGCTTTGTGTGCGCGCATAAGGCGTATTCAGGGGATGCAAAAATTACGCCGGAGATTTCAAACGATCTAACAGAACTTATTGTGGGGATAACCCAGCGAAATAGCACGGAGTATCTGGTAGTTGAATAAAAGTGCGTAAAGAAAGCGCGGGAAATTACTTTTTGCATTTTTAGAACCTGAAAATCCATGAAAAAGCGAACACATTGCCATATCTGGCACATTTCCGCATTTGGAAGGGGAGCCTAAAAGATCTACATCACTTACTGCGCACTGCATTATAGGTGGCAGAATAATAGCATGGTGTGTTGTAAGTAACAGAGTAGTTGGGCGGTGTGGCATAAGCAGCAGAACAATTGCAACAATTACACACTCTATCGTAAGTGATAGAATAACCCCACACTATACCATATGTAGCAGGCATTCTGCCACTTATTGCACACTACACCATAACTCCATTGCCTACTGCACACTATAGCATAAATTCCAGAATACTCCCTGCTTTATGATACTATACATCTGCTGCATGCATATTCCCCAAGTAAACTCGTTGCAGATCCTGTATAATATACTCGCAAGTCCTTTATTAGTTATCTGTGAGCTCCTTCAGGCGCTGGTTTTGTGACTTTGCAGATTGTCCTGCAACAGTTACGACGTTGTAGGCTCCTCCTGCAACAACTACGTTGCAAGATCGGCATTTCCAAATTCCAACGACTTCTCTTCTCACGTTCTTCTTTCCGCAGAAGTTGCACGTGTATTTGGCGTGCTGAGTGATTTCAGATACCTTTGCTCTCTTACGCAGGGAAACACCGTATCTCACACCGTACTTCCCTACAATTCCTACCTTCTTAGTTTTCTGGGACATTCTTGGGCAAAAAAAAAAATAAATATATATAAACCAGGACTTCTGCTACACTGTACAATTATTGCAGAAGTTACGGCACAGTGCGTAATTGTTGCAGGAGCTATGATGTGCTGTGCAGTAACGGATAGAATGCTACGTTACTTCTGATGCACTGCACAATATATTCCGTTATTTATGATCCACCGAGTAACTATTGACGGGTATTCTACTGCTTATGGCGTGTGTAGTAGTGCCCGCAGCAGAGAGCGCCAGACTCTGCGCAGGACTTTCTGTGCGCTGTGCAAAAAGTTTTGGCACTTTTTTTCTTTTGTTTAGTATACACAGCGGAATAATTGGCACTTAGTGCACCGCATGTGGTAATTCCCGCACAACGTTTTCTCTTGTTTTATTCTCATGCTTAAAACAACAGAAAATAAGTCCGCATATCCCTCGCTCTAATCTCCGCTCTGTGTTTCTTTGTCTCTGCTACATGCCAAAAAAAGACCCCTGAAGACTCCTTCCAGACCGAAATACCTAAAAATACCCGCATCTTCCCACAGGCTTTTCAAAACACGTACCAGAAGAAAAGTATAAATATTTTTCGCACTTACACTTTTATGCATTTCTCAAAAAGCCTTTTTATTCTTTCCCTTATTTCAACAATCAACGCAATGTTTACGCCTGTTTGCATACCAACTTCTTCGATAAACCCATGCACAGGAAATTCAGGCATGATTTCTGACCTTTCAATTAGCGGGATAGGCTTCCCAGGTTCAAACACTGACTCATCTTCAGGTGTTAACATCAACTGCCACATTAACGGCTTTGGAGGAGGATTCGGAAATGGCGGAGGGTTCGGAAACGGCGGAAACATGACCATGCCAAACATATGCATGCCTTCAGGTTCTGTTAGCGACTTCTCCGGGCTAAATCCAGGTGTATCGTTGCCTGGAATTCCTTCTTTGGGGATGCAGATGGCCTGTAATTCCATAGGAATGTCCGACGTAAAAGTTGGCGGAGTTGGAAACTGGGGGAATGACTGTTACTCCAAGGTTGGAAGCATTTTCATGAATGGATTCGGTGGGAACTCCAAGCTAAATGACATATGCTGCACGATTTCAGGCGCTTCTCCCAAAATTCTCAGATAATAAATAAAAACATTATCACTTTAGGAAGGTCTTTTTTGGAAAACCCGTTAGGATCAGGTTTTTGGTGCAGATTTTTATTGTGCGCACTATACCCCGAATAACCCGGCGAGAAACAAAAAGTCCTGCTGCTTTTTACGCTGTGCACAGAAAATGCTGTTTAATATGCCGTGCACAAAAAGTACGACCTAATGCGCAGTGTGCAGAAAATGCGTGCGAGAAGAGCCCGAATAACCCGAGCAAAAAGGCAGAAAAGGCAAAAACGCGCATGCCCAACACCCCATAGTATCGCGCCGTGAAAATCCGCACGCATGCCCAAACCCACGTTTTCCGCTATTTTACAAACCGGTTTCCCGCTTTATCGCATATTTTCACTCGTTTGCCTGTTTTACGCTGTTTTCTAACGATTCCTCTATTTGCAGGAATATTTTTATTTTTTCTTCCGTGCACTTGCGCACACAGGCTCTCTCCTTCTCCGTTAGCTTTTGCCTATTCCCGAGAAGCCCCGAAGAAACACACGATTTAAAGCACATTTCTGTTGTTTCTTCAAAGAACATTTTTAGGTCGTCTTGAGGTCCGCTTCTTCGCCGGAACCAGTTCGCAATGTCCTGAAGCATAAAAAAATAAAATATTCGGGCTATTTATTATGCACTGTGCAAGATGTAATGCTACTTTTTGTGCAGTCGGCAATAGGCGGCGGCGTTTATTGGGCAGTGTAAATTAAGTCTTGTTTTTATGCCTTGCATACTAAATATTGTGCAATGCCTGGCCGGTACTTTCTGTGCGGTGCGTATTAAGTCTTAGTGTCTATTTTTTCTCACTTATTGTGCACTGTGTAAAAACAGCAGCTTGCACTTGGCTAAGACTTAACAGCCACTGCACAGTAAATAAGGACGTATTGCGCAGTGCATAACAAATACTATGTATTGCACACCACACAAAAAGCAAAGACTTAACAGCCACTGCATAATAATACTATTTAATACACACTGCACAGAACTACCGCCTCCCCTTTCGCACGAAATCTCGCACATAACTCGAAAACTTCCCAGGGACTTTCCGAAACAATAGCCCAAACTTTCCACGCAGTAAACACGCAGCATAGAATAGGGCATACACTCCGCAGTCGTGCGAATTCTCCTGCTGTGCGCAACTGCTGCTATACATGCACAGATTCACCGCCGAGTGCTGGAGAAGAGCGTGCGAGAGGCTTCTGTGTATGGGCCTGAGCGAGTCAAAAATAACGGAAATTCCCGTTGAAAGGTCGATATACGCAATCGACCAGTGCGATTCGCTGTGCAAAGGAAAAATCAGATTTCTCACTCCGGAAGTGTCCCCTTCAGGCATCCACCCTGCAAGATGCTTCATTCCGCTGCACTTCAAAGACTCAAAGTAGAAACTGCTGAAAACCACGGTTTTAGGCCTTAAAACGCGGTCTTTTCGGGGATATCCTGCCATTACAGCGTCCCCCGTGGAGTTGACAAGCTTCGCCAGGAAGTTGTTTATCTCCGAATCGGTCAGCCACGCTTCGGGCGGAAATGCCCCGACTTTTCTGTGCATTTTCGCTTTGCAAAAAATGCGCTTTAAAATTCAGAGAGAAGAGCTCAGGCGCGTGCACATGTACGAAATGAAGGGGGAATTTATCGAGGCCTCAAGCCTGCAGATTTCAGCGGAGAAAGATACCATGAGATTCGGCCGAGTCTATCTCACGGGGGAGGAAAAGCCCGCCCCAGAGGCTCTTGTTCTGGAGGTTTCAGAAGGAGAAATGCGGCCGTACGCAGTGATTACAGGACACTCGGCCTTTTTTGGGCGCCCTCGGTACGCGGTAAAGCCCCCAAAAGACGACCCCAAGGCAGCAGGCAGTAGCAAGCGATAAAGAAGAGGCTTATCAGCGGAAGAAAGAAACAAACTAAAAGAAGCAAAGGCTTGAGAGAGAAAAGGCTCAAAAGAAAAACAGTTAAAAGATGAAGAGAAAAAAGAAAGAAAAGAGTCAAGTTATGTCGGTATAAATATATAAAAATAAAATGCTATGCAAATACGGGCGTAAACGATGAATCTTTGCAAACAAAAAGCCAAGACCAGCTTTCCACGTGTTCTCTGCTGCCTTCAGAGGCGCAGAAAGAGCAGAGAGAATGGAAGTTTTCACGTCGGAAAGTCTCTGGGGAAGTTGGACAGAAATATTATTTTATTTTTGCTTCGCCATTTTACAGCATGCGAGAAACAGAGAAATTCGATGGAGCGTGTGGAAGAGATGCTCCCGCGGGAAATGCTCGAACAGAGAGACAGGGTGCGCGCGACTCTGCAAATACCTCGAGTCTCGCAGAAAATGGCGACTTTTCTCCGAGCTCTGGCGAAGAAAGAATGCGCGCTTTTTACAGAAAAGTCTACGCGGATGCAGACGAAATAATCGACTTGCTGAAAACTCCGCTTCCCGTGAGCTTCCGGATATCCCCGGGGACGTGGTGCGAGGCCCTGCAGAGGGAAATATCGAGGCACAAGCTCATCCGGAAAGTGCCGTGGTGCGAAAATGCGTACGAAATCCCCTTCTCGCGCAAAGACCTTTCGAACAGAAATATTTCCAAGCTGGAGAGTACTTCTCCGACAGGGAACGAGGACCTGAAAAAGATAAACGCCTTTTTGAAGACGCACACAAGCACAGCAGCAATCACGCGGCAGGAACTTGTCTCGATGGTTCCCGTTTTAGCGCTGGACGTGAGGCCAAACTCGCACGTTCTTGACACGTGCGCATCTCCAGGCTCAAAAACCTCGCAGATTCTGGAAACCCTCACGGGGGAAGGCCTGCTCATTTCAAACGACGTAAACAACAGGCGCATCCCGCAGCTCGTGAAGCAGGCGAAAAGATTCGGGAATCCGTCCCTGATTGTAACGTGCAATGACGCGACTGCGTATCCCAGAATAGGCGCACCCCAAAAAATCCGAAGAAATGAAAAAAGTGCGTCCAGGGTGAATATACAAAGTTCAAATAGCGCGTGCACCGAAAATATACAAAGTAGGGGCGCGAGCAAAAAAAGCACAGAAGACCCCCGAGAAGTCTCCAGGGTGAATATACAAAGTTCAAATAGCGCGTGCACCGAAAATATACAAAGCGAGGCGAGCGTCACCCTCACCCGCATACTTTGCGATGTTCCCTGCTCAGGCGACGGAACAATCCGAAAAAACGCACACATTCTGAAGAAGTGGAGCATGCGAGAGGCGGTGGGCCTTTTCCAGGTGCAGAGGAAAATCCTGAAAAGAGCTCTTGACCTTCTGCAGTGCGGGATTTTGGTCTACTCCACGTGCTCGCTAAACCCCGTGGAAAACGAGCTTGTTCTTCTCGAGGCTTTAAAGTGCAACTCTTCTGCGGAAATAGTGGAGTTTGTGGTTGCAGGGCTTGCCATGCGCGAGGGCCTGGGGGAAAACGCTTTGCGGGAAGTGCATGGCGAGGTTTTGGGCGGAGAAATGGCGTACCGGGAGGACATTCGAAACTGCAGGCGGATTATTCCTACAGACCAGAACACGGGCGGGTTCTTTGTTGCAAAAATCCGGAAGGTGTGCGGAGAAACAGGCTGCGGAGAGTGTGATAAAAATTTGCAGAACCTGAAATCATTACCCGATATGGAAATTTCCGTTAAAAAACTCCAAGAAAAAATACGAGCGGCCCCGGAAATACGCCCTGAGATGGAAGTTTCCGACAAAAGCCACTCGCTCTCCCACCCGCTTGTAATCCGCGGCGAGAAAAACATAGAGGAGTCTTTCGCATACAGAGTAGACGCTGCCACAAGAAAGACGATTGAAAAACAGTGGGGCCCATCCCGCCTGAACTTCATTGCAAAAACCCCGCATTTTAAAACGATATACGGACTCTCGGAAAGCGCATTTTCTGTCCTGGAGGCAGCACCTGCTCCTTTGCGCGTTGTCTTTGCAGGGTGCCGGCTCTTCTGCGTTTTCGGGAAGGAGCGGCCCCACGTTGAGACCAGATACAGAATAACGCACGAAGGAATTTTAAACCAAGAAATAGCCCCTGAAAGAATCGTCAAAATCAGCGAAAAACAGCTCCTGAAGATCCTCACAGAAGGCACAGATGCTCATGTGCAGTCTCTGAGTGCGGGCGTGTACGTTCTGCGCGTGGAAAGTCGGGAAATAGACGTTCCCTTCGCCCTCAGCAGCAGCACAGAAATAGAAGTCCTCGTGGAAAAAGACGTAAAACAGGCACTCGTGCACCTGCTAGAGATAGAGTAGAAAGTCTGCGAGTACTCGAAGTATTTTCCTGCCAAATCCTGGAATCTCCGCAGCGTAAAGCTGTCTTTGCCCTGCATAAATAATAAATTGTTTCTAGAGCGTGCTATTCCGCAATATTTTCAGCACTTTCTCTTTTCTTCCACGGGAAAATTCTGTCTCTTTTTTTGTATTTTTCTCTTTCCCGTATACGCTTTCCTAAGTAAAATTGCCTCTCCTGAGTACCCCCCTTACGCCGTATACAAACACTAATTGTTTTTTGTCTTTTTTTCGTATTTTTCTCTTTCCCGTATACGTTTTCCTAAGTAAAATTGCCTCTCCTGAGTACCCCCCAGCACTGTGGGAAAGTGCTAATTAAAAAGAAGCTATCCTGCAGATGCTATGCGCATAACATCACGGGATATCTCTATAAATTTCTGCCGTTTACCAGAATATACATTTTATTGCACTGAAACAGTTAGCAAATATGCACTTTTAGTTGGCCCTGGGCTTATATACAGAGAGAATGCTCATGGGAGGAATGTATTTGTGCAGTTTGTCCGACGTATCCGTGCAGGGAACGTAGTCCATGCGGGCCTTCTTTTCGCTTGCTGACAGATTATGGTACCTCATGTACTCGTCGTGGCTTGGCGTATTCAGGATCTCTCTTTGGATGGAAAGCGACTCTTCCGTCTCAAAGATAAACTCCCCAATTATTGCGCACTTGCTTATTCTGTACATGTTTAGCACGCCTATATCGGACATAAACTGCAGCTGCAGCTCCCTTTTTGTATACAATTTCTCCGTTTTGAGGAAGTCAAGGAACCTTTTGTTGCTCGGAGTCTCTGAAAAGATGTGAAACACGTGGCAAACCCGAATAAGCGGGAGAACAGGCTTGTTTCTCAGCATGGAAAAAGTCTTCATGAAATTGTGGGTCTGAACAGGAATACTGCGATATCTTCCCCTTTTACGAGGAACAGCCCCTCCCATGCGGGGATCTACAGCCCTAACCCCAGACATAATCGCAGGCCTTCTCCTTGCGAATCTCCGAGCGTAGCTTCTTTGCATAGAAGCACGCTTTTGAAGACTTTCTGCCTCTTTCAGCTTATCACAGAGACGCATAATAATTAAGAAGTGAACAGGCAGTTCCTTGGGCTTGGGTTCTGGCTTTCTTACTAGCACAAATTTCCCTCCTTTCTTTACCACATCATACTCTCCTAGCTTGGAAGTAAATCTTTCTGTTTTGGGTTTCTCTGAAACGCCCTTTATAAGAAGTCTGCGAAGCATATCATCCCCAGACACACGTGCTGATGATCCTGCAATTCTTCTTCGCTGGGGCATCATACCAGGTTTTCCCCGTAAAGGTAATCTGCCTGGCCTTCCTCTTAGAGGCATTGAAGCTGCAGATCTTCCTCTGAGGGGTAATCCACCAGGTTTTCCTCTGAGGGGTAATCCACCCGGTTTTCCCCGTAAAGGTAATCCGCCTGGTTTTCCCCGTAAAGGTAATCCGCCTGGTTTTCCCCGTAAAGGTAATCCGCCAGGTTTTCCCCGTAAAGGTAATCTGCCTGGCCTTCCTCTTAGAGGCATTGAAGCTGTAGATCTTCCTCTTAGAGGTAATCCACCAGGTTTTCCTCTTATGGGCATCATGCCAGGTCTTCCTCTGAGGGGTAATCCACCAGGCTTTCCTCTTGGCGGCATTTGAGTAGAAGTTCCCATTCGAGGGATCATACCAGGTCTTCCTCTGAGGGGTATTGAAGCTGTATAATTTCCTCTGAGGGGAATCATACCAGGTTTTCCCCGTAGAGGCATCTGAGTAGAAGTTCCTCTTAGGGGTAATCCACCTGGTCTTCCTCTTAGGGGCATCTGCATATAAGTTCCCATTCGAGGTACAGGCGTATAATTTCCTATTTGAGGTAATAAACCTGGTCTTCCTATTTGGGGCATTGCATGTGGGTGTTTTCCCACAGTCGCACAGGGAGTTTTGGGCAGAGCTTTCTCCTTATCGGGGAAGCAATCTTTGACCTTTCTCTGTAGGAAATTCTTAATCTTATCGTGTGGGGAAATGGTTTCAGTTTTTTTCTTTTCGGTACTACTTGGCGGTTTCTGTGCTTGTGTTTTGAGTATTTGTCTTTCCAAGACAGGGCTTTTATCAGGTTTATTTCCAAATAAGGAAAACCCTGGTTTTTCAGGTTCTACCTTCACGCCCGCAAATGTTTTCATCGTCCAAAAAACAGGCACTGTCTTCATCCTGGTAAAGTACATCTTGAACACGCTAGTAGCCTCTGAGTACGCAAATACGTGCAATCCAATAACAACGCATAGAGCGCTTATTTTGCTGCCTATTTTCTTCTGAAGAAATAAGCACACTGAAAGCACCAGGCACTCCATGGAAATAAAAGCCGTACAGATTCTGGGGAGATTCTGTACGCTTATAAACATAGAAGCCATAGATGCAATAACTAGCATAGTCACTAAAAAGTCTAAAGTCCTCAGTCTTCTAATTCCTCGATCCATGGGAGAGATTGTGTGCTTCTATTTAAGAACAGGCACATCTATATCATAAATACAGGTTTTTCCCCTTTTAGACCTATTTCCCCGTATAGTAATATAGTGTCACACCCATAAAAAAGAAAACCATGTTACCAAAAAGAAAAATAAACAAGAGAAGAGAAGAACACTCTGAAGACATAATAAGTGCAACTGCCCGCCAAATCAGGTATACAACGAAATATATTCTAGTGATTTACTGTGTTAACTAACGATGCAACCAGATGTCTATTTACACATACTTGATATACTAACGGACTGCCTATTTATAGTATTCATTGATGCTGACTATATACTTACTAGCCAATTCTACTAGTAGCCTACTAAATATGCTAGCAATAACTAAAGTACTCGACCATCCTATGCTTACTAGCTAAACTATCTATGTATACTTACTATCTATCTATCCTAGTAACTTACTATCTACTTATTCCAACTATGCTATACTTATTATCTATCTACTTACTATATACTTATACTTACTATCTAACTATCTATATATCCTATACTTACTTATACTTACTTATACTTACTTATACTTACTATATACTTATACTTACTATCTAACTATCTCTATATATCCTCTACTTACTTACTTACTATATACTTACTTACTATATACTCTCTGCTAGTGAGTATACTATGCTTTCTAGGGAAAAGCAAAAATAAAATGCACAGAATACGGGTGAAGGGAGGCCGGGAAGTGACGGGGGAAATCCTGTCTGTGGATGCGCACATGAACGTTCTCGTGAGAAATGCTGTTGAAACGAGAAATCAGGCCCCGAGTGAAAGCAAAGGCCTAAAAAGAAGGCGTGAGAGAGTATTCACACGGCACATAAAGAATGTGCTCGTATGGGGGAGTACTGTAGTCTCTATAGAAAGTATGCCGTAGAGTAGAAGAAAGTCTAGCAGAGGCACATAATACGGACTATTACGCCTATTTCTTATCGCGTGAACTTCTGTGTGGAATTTCCTTTTGGCTCTCACTGGGAGGATTCTCACTTCTTTTTCTCTCGAAAATTTCCTTTTCCCGTGGGATTTTGCTAAGTAAAAAAGCCTCTCCTGAGTACCCCCACAGCACTGTGAGAATGTGCTAATTAAAAGTGCAGGCAGTTAACAAGGGAATGCCATAAGCAAAAAGGCCCAAACAAGCGCCATATAATCTACTACATAGAGAAAATGCCTACCCAATAAGAACAAGCAACTAATTACTATCTAATTGATGCTATATAAATACACTATCCAATCTATTACACTAACAATATCTACCATATAACTACGATGTCTGGATATACAACACTATCTAACTACACATATACTAACTATCTACTAACTATCTATTTACAACAGCATATACTAACTAACTGCCTACACTAACACTATATATGATATCTATTTACATATACTATACCATCTACTAACTATCTACTAACTATCTACATGATCTCTTTATTTACATGCTGCATATGCAACCAACCGCCTGAGCTGGAACTCGTCTATTTCGCTGTAGCTGCGCACAGCCTCAAGTACTGCACACTCCGTGCGATTTACAACTTCATACGCATTTCCTGTGGGACTTCCCCTAAGCATGGCCGAAAATGAGACTTTATCTCTAAATATCTTGATGATGATCTCAACTGATTTTTCTTCATTTTGGGCATTTCTTACGGAGATGCAGTGCGCATATGTACTTTCGTTGTTCTTTCGCGTGTATACGTTATAGTATGAAACTGTGCCTAAGTGCTGGAATAGTTCTGTTCTTTCTGGGGCTGTGTAGTAAGAGTGCATTCCCGTTAGGCCGTCGGGAATGTACGGGAGAAACTGCGTTCTAAAGGCGATCCGGATCTTCTCGGAGATCAATGCGGAAACACTGCTTCTGATCTCAGGGGAGTTTCTGTTGAGGGTGAATGTGAGGGGCTTCGTCCCGTTTACTACGAAAGCCTGTACGAGAAAAAGCAAAATAAGCTTGAAATTTTGGCTTTTCATGTACAGGGATACAGGAGAGAGTTTGGAAGTTTGGCTTCTCGTGCTCATTTTCGTGTTTGTGTTTCTGCAGGCAATATAAATGCGAATGCAGGGCCTGGACTGCTCCAAGACAGGCTTAGACGCGCAGAACCTGCGCAGCGCCAAAAGATCGGCCTATTTTCACATTAGAGCACCATTTATTACGCACTGCGCAATATGCTACTTATTACACAGTGTGTATTAAGTACGGCACTTTTTATGCACTGTATATAAAATAAGCTCCAGAGACCCTCTGCAGTGCCCAGCAAGTCCCGCACAGCTCGCCAATTACTGCGCACTGCACAGAAAATAAGATAGTGCACACCGCACAGTAAGTGGTGGCGTGCAAGCATGAGCGCGTCTAATATGCAAATAGCCTTTATTTCTACTTAACCTCCTGCGGGTTCATGCTCATAGTGCCCTCAAAGTACCCCTTTGCAGCTCTTTTCTCGTATAACGCTCTCTTTGCAGCTCTCCCCTTCTTTGGCTTGGGCTTGTCTGACTTTGCGACTTTTGGAGTCGATCCTCGCACTTTCCCTGTCTTGTTCAGTGATATTGCTTTTGCCATGGGATGAAAAAAATGAAAACTAAAAAATAAAAAATAAAATTTTCACTCGATGGACGCGCTTTTCTCGCAGGAGCTCGCCCTTCTCGTCTCCGCCCTAGAAGAAGCCCGCCTGCAGGACGCAGAAAAAGCTGCCCGGAAACTCGACATAATATATAAAGTATCCACAGACGGATTCGAACCCGTGAACATAAATCTCTCCAAGAGCCTGCACGAAATAATGTACTCGCTTCTTTCCGAGACGGAGGAGAAGGAGCTCCTGATACGGGAGTGCAGGGAAACTGTCGAAAACAAAAATATGCACAATATCAGCGAGATATTAAAGTACAGCAAAAACCTAGCAGAAGTAAAGTGTCCCCTTCTCTGGAGCGAAGATATGCCTTTAGACAGAATCCCCGCATATCCCACGGACTCTCTCGTGCAGCACTCCCTTCTCCGGGGAAAGCAGATCCACGAAGAGAAAAAATAAAGAAACGAGAATCTGAATATTCAGTGCGTATGGAGCAGTCACTCCCACTTAAAGTCCGCAGGACGAAGGAACTTCACACTTTGAGGAAATGCAGGCAGTAAAGAGTCTGTTAAGCCCAGGAAAGCAGAAAATACGCGAGCATTCCCAGGGAAAGTACACTCTAGAACCAGAATAACCTAAAATTCTGAGCTAATAAGTTCCCCAGTGCTATATGTGAATGCATAGTTACTCGTAATTGGTTATTCTTTGGAGAATAAATGAATATTTGTTTACCCACAGTTAGCAAGGATATAATAAGTATAATAATTATATAAGCACTTCAATAATAACCCGAATTCATGAAGGGCATGAATTTCACTAGCACTTCCATTATTAAAACTATAATAAGTACATAAGTATATAAGCACTTCAATAATAACCCGAATTCATGAAGAGTATGAATGTATGAATACTTCCATTATTAAAACTCCCTGGACTCTGGTCTTAGCCCCGAATATCCCGAATGCGCGTATGTAAATGTATTTTTTTTTTCTTCCCATGCAGAAAAAGCTAGCAACAAGGGTCTACACGTGGGGGGCAGGGGATGCAGGCCAGCTGGGAGTTGAAACTGAAAATGCATCCGCACCTGCTCCAATTGAACTCCCTTTTTTCTCCGATAAAAATATCACTTCCATCGTATGCGGGGGAATGCACTCTCTCGCTCTCTCTGAAGATGGCACCCTTTTTTCGTGGGGCTGCAACGACGAGGGAGTTCTCGGGCGGGAGGGAAACGAGGAAGAACCTGAAAAGGTCAATTTCCCAGAAAAAATAAAAATAAAAAAAGTCGTTGCTGGAGACTCGATCTCAGCAGCTGTCGATCAAAACGGCAGTCTCTGGACGTGGGGACTCTTCAGAGGACCCGGAGGAGTCATAGGACACGCGAAAAGAAGAAACGAGACTGTAAAGATGCAGAGAACACCTGAAATCGTCCCACGCATAAAAGTACGCACTCTAGCAGCAGGATGCAACCATCTCGCAGTCGTAGACACACGCGGAAGACTCTTCACGTGGGGAGACGGAGCAACAGGAGCCCTTGGAAGGTACATCTCGAAGAGAAAGGGCGTGGAGGAAGGCCTTATCCCAAGAGTTGCACTCACAGGAGTCTCAGACGTAGTCGCAGGAGCATACCATACGATGGCAGTGAAGGAGGAAGAAAGCACAAGAATAAAGCGCAGAAAAGTCTCCACAGACGGAGAAAGAGAAGAGACTTGCCTAATAACATTCTCGGGCGTAAATAACTTCGGACAAGCACCAGGAGCATCCCCCACAGGAAAGTGGGCACCCTGGAGAGAGGATAAGAACCTGAAAACATTCAGGAAGGGCATGGGAGGAGAACATAGTACACACGTTCTAGATACACGCGGAAGACTCTGGGCCGTGGGAAGAAATACTTTCGGACAGCTCGGAGTTGGAGACGATAAAAATAGGCAGGAGTTCACAAAGTGCAGGATCGAAAACGTCGCAGACTTTGCAATTACAGCAGCACACGCTCTTGCTATCGCAGACGGAAAACTCTTCTCCTGGGGATTCGGAGAGGAGGAACAGCTCGGATACGAGGCACAGAAGCAGATGGACCCGAGAGAAGTCGCTCTGCCGAGTGGGGAAGTGCCAATTTCTGTTGGCGCTGGGGGACAGCACTCGGCAGTAGTCACCGCATGCCACGAGAAGTGAGAACACCCGCTAAGTATATAAACCATCATTTTGTCATACGCTTTTATGCTATGTTAGTATTATTCCTTGCTAGCATTCTGCTAAGTATAAGTATTCTCTTGCTATGTTAGTATGCTAAGTTATTTATTCTCTTGCTAAGTTAGTATTCTACTAAGTATTTCACTAAGTTATTTATTCTCTTTCTATGTTATTATGCTAAGTATTTCACTAAGTTATTATTCTCTTGCTAAGTATTCTACTAAGTTATTTATTCTCTTGCTAAGTATTCTACTAAGTTATTTATTCTCTTGCTAAGTATTCTACTAAGTTGAGTTTCTAAGTATTCTCTTTCTATGCTAGATTCTACTAAGTATTTCACTAAGTTATTATTCTCTTTCTAAGTATTCTCTTGCTATGTATTCTTACTAAGCTACTCTTTGTTATGTATTTAGTTGTAATAATGGAAGTTCATGTGAAATTCACAGCCTTCATTATTTCTCGATCTGCTTATATACTTACGCACTTATTCTATCGTTGTTTATAACGTTCTGTCCAAACTATGCTTTCACATAGAACATTTACTAAGTACTATCCTACTATCTGCTAACCACTATCATACTCTGCGTACTCCAATATTTCCTGATTTCATCATATTATTATGCGCGGCTTTTCTTTTCCCGCGCATTCTTGCATTTATGCGGAATTTTCTTCTCCTGCATGCCCTCGCAGGAGAGACAGTACATAAACCTCGTGAAAAGAATCCTGGAAGAAGGCCACAAGAAAATGGACAGAACCCGCACAGGAACTATCTCCGTGTGTGGGGACATGGCCAGATACTCCCTGCACGACAATAAATTTCCTCTCCTCACAACAAAGAAAGTCCCCTTCAGAGTCGTCGCTGAGGAGCTTCTTTTCTTCATCCGCGGTCAGACAGACAATAGAATCCTGAAGAAAAAAAGCGTAAACATATGGACACAGAACGGGACAGAAGAATTCCTGAAAAGTAGGGGCATAAACAGGAAGGAGGACGATCTCGGGCCCATATACGGCTTCCAGTGGAGACACTTCGGGGCAAAATACGAGACGTGCGAGAGCGAATACGCAGGAAAGGGCGTGGATCAGCTAAAGGCAGTCATTGAGGAGCTGAAGGTAAACCCGAACAGCAGAAGACTCGTTGTCTCCGCTTGGAATCCCCTTGACCTGCAGGAAATGGCTCTTCCCCCGTGTCACGTGCTATTTCAGTTCGTAGTCACTAACGGGTGCTTGGACTGCGTTTTGTACCAGAGATCAGGAGATGTCGGACTTGGAGTGCCCTTTAACATCGCAAGTTACGCCCTCCTCCTGAAAATGGTCTCGTATCTCACGGGAATACCCGCAGGAGAGTTTATCCACGTGCTTGCAGATGCCCATATATATGCAGATCACACGGATCAGCTGAAGATACAGGCAGAAAGGATTCCATACGAATTCCCCACGCTCAGAATAGATCCAAAGCAGCCCAGGACAGAGATCGACCAGTTTGAAGTTGAGGACTTCGTTCTTGAGGGATACACCCACCACTCGGCACTCCCCATGCGAATGTCCCCGTAAGAGAAAGAGAAAAAAAGAGAAAGAGAGAGGAAAAGAGAGAGATGCTGAAGACATAGTTGCTTGTAATTGGTTATTGCTTAGAAGGGCTAATTAAAGGGAGTATATATCTATGATATATAAGTAATTTGTCATGGGAAATTTATTTTTATAAACTTTATACTAACACTATCTAACTATTACACAATATACTAATAACTATTACACAATATAACTATCTAGTAACTACTATCTAGTAATTATGCTTTATATAACTGTCTAACTATTACACAATATACTATCTAATAAGTATCTATTATCTAACTATCTAGTAACTATTACACAATATAACTATGCTTTATCTAATAACTACTATCTAGTAACTATGCTTTATATACTTTATCTAACTATCTAGTAACTATGCTTTATCTAACTATCTACTATCTAACTACTACACAATATACTATCTATTATCTAACTATCTATTATCTAATAACTATCTGTTAGCTAGTAACTATCTATTATCTAATAACTATTCCAAATACTAATAACTATGCTTTATATAACACTGTCTTGATACGGGCATTTCCTGCTGCCTATGAGACATACTTCAGCATCTGCAGGACCTTGAACAGATACTCGCTCTCCACAGGGTCCTGCCTGGAGTCTTTCACTGTGAGGAGGACTCGCTTCTTCGTTTTTTGGAAAAGGTCCAAGACACGGGTCAGCTGCACGTGGACAGCCTTATCCATGCACGAGCCATTTACAATGGACTCAGATATCCGCACCATATACTGAGCATGCACTTTTTCCAGCGTATCCTCAATCACTTCCATCATAGTCTCGCAGTTGGGCCTTTTCATAAGCTTGCTCCCACAGAGAGTCGTACTTCCCTTGGGCAGAGCATTCTTTACGTCCCTCAGGCCTTTTATTACGGGATCCATGCGGAAACAAAAAGAAAAAAAGAAAAAAGGCAAATTCAGACGCTATTTGGGTTATTGTTCGCGCACTGGAAGTAATAGATAGAGATTTACTAGCTAATTCAGAGTACTATCACTCACTTTCCAACTATTCTCACTTTCTAACTATTATCCTGTGGTGAATTATTGGAATTCCCACAAATTTAGATCATGCCTTGAAAAAAATCAATAAGATGTAAACCATAAAAATTGTCAGTGAGCATTAAAGATATAAATACGCGAGACGTTTTTAAAAAGAAGGAACAAAACACAGAAGTAATGTCAAGGAATTCTAAACATCGAACAGTACGACATTCAATAGTCGACATTTATAAACCCTCATTGGAGATTTTATTCGGCAATATCCAACGCCTAAATCCGATTTACGACCTATTCCTACTATTATTCACTTACATTTATACTGGTATTCATACTATTGTTCATACTATTATTTGCATATTTACAATCTTACTAGCTATAATACTTACTGAAATTCTTAATATTATTCGGGTTATTATTTACCCATTTACAATCATACTAGCTATAATACTTGGTAAAATTCTTAATATTATTCTTACTATTTGTCGTAAATCCGGGTTTCATTTTGACGATTGTATAAAACGAGCTCCAGTAAAGATTTATTAGTCTTTGGAGAATCCCGGCGATCGACCTTCGCTTGACTTGAATAGTGCATATTCGAATTTCTTGCCATTTTCTTCAGCTCTCTCTTAAATTAAAGTCGTCTGCGTATTTATGCTTGTAAACGATCACTACTTAATTTTTTTTTGCTTCAGATCATGTAAAATTCTTTCAAGCTGATCGTGCCGTCTCCGACTTTGTGGGAATTCCAATAATTCACCACACTATTATTTACCCTTTTGCTTTCATACTATTATTCATACTTTTTCAAATTCTTACTATTATTTATACTATTATTTACATGTTTACAATCACACTAGCTGAAATACTTGGTAAAATTCTTAATATTATTCATAGTATTATTCACTCACTAAGTATTTCTTTCTTCTTTTATTTTCAGCCATGGACGAGTATGACAGAATGCGTGTGCAGAGAGATGCAATTCTTCAAGAGTTTTCGCTGATGAAAAGCGCTGCCAGGAGAGTGCCTTTCCCAAGAAGCACCCACACAAGCACAAACTACGCTGAAAACATCCACGAATATGCACCCTCGGAAAGTGCCAGGCTAAAGGTAATATCCGCCCTGGAGAGAGACCGGCGTAATTGGACGTGCATTTTGGAGCAGCCTTTTCCAGCGGCAGAGAATGCGGTGAAGGTAAAAGACGCAAGAAAGCCTGCCCTGAAGAGAAAGTACATAAAGTACGTTAAGTTCGCAGAGTTAGTGGGACCACGAGAGGAAAAGTGTTCTATTTGCTGGTGCTCGTATAAGGCCGTAAACATCTGTGGGATCATGCGATGCATGCACATGTTTCACAGGACATGCATAAACAGACACATTTCAACGGCAGGATCCTGTCCCATCTGCAGGAGAGACGTCATCAGCGGAGTAGTCAACTAATAAGAGGCTCAGCACGAGAATATTTCCACAGTACTGAAGCATATTATACATTGAAGTTATTATTGTTATAAGATAGAGTATTATCAAATCAAGTATTATAAGATATTATTATTGCTATAAGATAGAGTATTATCAAATCAAGTATTATAGTAGAATAACGTATTATACAATGAAGTATTATAGTAGAATAAAGTATTATAGAATAATTCGAGTTATTATAGAATAAAGTTATTATACAATGAAGTATTATTGCTATAAGATAGAGTATTATACAATGAACTATTATAGTAGAATAAAGTATTATACAATGAAGTTATTATACATTGAAGCATATTATTGCTATAAGATTGACTATTATACAATGAACTATTGAACTATTATACAATGAACTATTGAACTATTATACAATGAACTATTGAACTATTATTGCTATAAGATAGACTATGATAGAATTGCTGCATTGCAACTGCACTGATTTATTTGCTAGTAGTATCTATTGTGCACTTAGCCCGGACTATTTCTGGATCCTGCTGGCATTCACGCATGAATATCCCATGCCGCCCTTGGAAATTCCAGGAGTGCTTTCCTTTCATCGTGCAGAGAGAGAATGCCCAGTCTTTTCTCCCTTTTTTTCTTTGGGTTTCTGCCGTCTTCTCTCCCTGTCCCCGGGCATGACCTCGGAATTCTTAAATATTTTTTTATATTTCACCCCAGCAAATGGCAAACACCATAAAGATTCTTGAGAAAAAACAGAACCCGTTACTCGACAGAATGGAGCTCTCTCTCTCGATATACCACCCCACGTGTGGAACCCCAGACAAGAAAGACGTAGCTAAACTCCTGAGCGAGCAGCTAAACTCTTCCATTGACAACATAATCGTGCGAGACTGCTACACAAAGTTTGGTACCCACATCGCCACAGCAACTGCGAAGATCTACAACAAGAAGTCCAGCCTGGAGACGATAGAGCACAAGTTCGTCCTAAACAGGATCCAGAAGGAGAAGGGCGGAAAAGAGTCCACGAGACTCCCTAGAAAGCTGAGAAAGGAGGAGAAGAACAAGAAGAAGAAGATCAGAGGAACTCTCGCAGCCCTCCAGAAGAAGGCAGAAAAGAGGCAGCAAAGAGGTTAAATAAAGTGCGGATTATTAAATTTTTTATGCGGGAAGTGCGCGGGGAGTGGATGGAGCTGGAGCCGGAGATAAGCGAGGCAGAAAGTGCAGCTGAAACCTCCAGGGAGAGCGAGACTTTGGGAGAAGGAGGGAGGGAGGACCTTTTTCGGGCTGTTTTGAGGGGATTTGCAGAGTGGCAGTTGGGGATTTGGAAGCCTGCAAGGAGTTGGGCAGTGTACGGAGTAGTCTTCCTGGGGGGAGGATACGGCCTCTATAAAGTGGCGTACGAAGTGGGGAAGGTCCTTCTCGCGGGTCTCAGCCTCCTGGGGGGAGAGTGCTTGCGGGCAGTGATCTTTTTCCTGGTGATGGATGCCCTCATGAAGGCCCTCGTGTAGGAGAAGGAAAGAAGGCACGCTCAAAAGCAGTAAATGTGCAGTAAAGGTATGCAATAAGAACTATCTATGAATGGTTAAGAGTAAGTATGCATTTAGACAGTTTAGTATGAGAACTATCTATGAGTATAAGTATGCAATGAGAGTAAATGCATTTAGACAGTTTAGTATGAAAAGTATTTAGACAGTTTAGTATGAGAAGTATCTATGAATATAAGCATGCAATAAGAGCAAGAGTAGTACTATTTAGACAGTGAATATAAGAAGTACTTATGAATGGTTAAGAGTAAGCATGCAATAAGAGTAAATGCATTTAGACAGTTTAGTATGAGAAGTATCTATGAATGTTTAAGAGTAAGAGTACTTAGACAGTTTGTATTTCAGGCTATTATAAGTATCTATGTATATATGAAGTACTTAGACAGTTTGTAGTTCAAGTTGTTATGAGTAATTCAGGCTATTATATGTATACATAAGTATATGCATATGAAGTAGTTAGGAATGGTTAAGAGTAAGAGTAGTACTATTTAGACTTTTTGTATTTCGAGTTGTTATAAGTACTTATACTTTTTGTATTTCAAGCTGTTATAAGTATCTATGTATATATGAAGTATTTATGAGAAAAACTGTTTGTATAGAGAAAATATATGTATTACTTAGGAGTATTAAGAGAAAAAAGTGTAGGGAGTACTTAAAAATATTTAGACAGTTTGCAAACTCTACGAAAACTATTTAAGACTATACAAAAGCAAATCTATTTAACCGCATGAAAACAGGAAGTATTTAACAGCACGACATAATACCACACGAGAACTCCACGAGAACTCCCTCCTAATGTCTCTGTGAATTTCTGGATATTCCGTGCTTTTTTTCACCCCATGGGAGACGAACGGAGTTCCAATAATCACCCGGAAGATGCCCTTTTGGGCTTGCGCCAGGCACAGGAAAGCGTCATCAGAAGGTGGAGACTCGCAGAGGCAGAGCCCCCGAAGGAGTTCCAGACCGTCCAAGAAACAGGGAAGTTCCGGGAAATTCGCGCTCTCTACGCCCCGAGCACGCAGCAAAAAGTCTCCACGGAAGTCCTCGGAGAAAGCAGGAGATTCTTCCCGTTTTCGCACTTCAACAGAGTCCAGAGCGTTCTCCTCGGGCCAATTTACAGCACGCGAGAGAACGTGATGATCTCTGCCCCGACAGGCTCTGGGAAGACGGAAATTGCCGTCCTGGGAGTCCTGAAGGAGGCAGAATCCCACGGAAAGTTGACTCGCGCAGTCTTTCTCGCTCCAACGAAGTCCCTCATAAAAGAGGTCCTGAAGACGCTGGAGAGAAGATTCCGGGACTTCCTCAGCACAGCCCAGGATACGACAGACTCACGCCCTCCCACACACGAAGTGAATGTCCTAGTGACAACTCCGGAGAGATTCGATATCCTGAGCCTGCACGGAAAAGTATCTCCTTCTCTCCTGGTAGTAGATGAAATCCATGCCCTGGAGGAGGCTAGAGGGGGAGTCCTGGAAAGTGTCGTCCTGAGAAGTCGGGGGAGAATGCGGATAATTGGGATGAGTGCGACAGTGCCGAATTACAGGGATATTTCTTGCCTGATAGGGGCTAAGGAGAAGTACGCTTTCTACTTCGGGAGTGCCTGCAGGGAAGTTCCCGTGAGTTATACTGTTATCGGAGTGAAAGAAAAAAATCAGGTAAAAAAAATCTCCAACGGAATCTCCAACGGAATTCTAAGGGAAAAACTCGGGGAAATCCTGGGGGGAAGATTATTCGGGGAAGTACCTACTCTTCTCTTCCTGGGGGCAAGGAAAGAGTGCTTTCCCGTGGCCTGTGAAGTCGCTAGACTCCGAAAGCCCAGGAGTCTCCAGGCGAGAGAATCTCCGAATAAAGCCTTTGAAGGAGAAGCCCGGGAGTATTCGGAGATTCTCTCGCGGGGGGTGGGGATTCACCACTCGGGCCTTTCCCAGGGAATGCGTCTTCTCGTGGAGAGACTCTTCAGGGAGGGCGGAATACGCGTGATTTGCTGCACGGGGACTCTCGCATGCGGAGTAAATCTTCCTGCTGAGAGAGTTATCATATGCGGATCCCCAAGAGCAGGATACTCCCTCTCGGAAATCTCTCAAATGGCAGGAAGAGCAGGGAGGAGGGGACACTCTTCGGAGGGAAATGTCGTTATTATAACGGAAAATAGCCGTGTTTCAGCCTGTGCTCGGGCACTTACTTTCCAGTTTCCTGTTGAGAGCCGCTTGGGGGAGACTTTTCCCACGCGGATTTTGTACGAAATTTGCAGTTCCCCAAGGAAAGTGCAGGATTTGGTGGAATGGGTCGGGAAAACGCATGCGTACAGGAGGGGGATGGTGCACGAGGAGACGAGGAAGCACTTTTCCGACTTGCCCGCTCTTGTATGCTCTATTTTGGAGGTTCTTCACGGGATGGAAGTAATTCTTCTTCAGGACGAAAATTCCGCCTGGGGAAAGTTTGCAGGAATAGTTCAGCCGTCAGGCCTGGGAAAAATCGCATTCTCCTTCTACATGCGCCCGGAATCTGTCTCTCGGTTTCACAGGGTCTTTCTAGAGGCGGAAAATAAAAAAGTATTTTTCGACGTGGGGGATGTGATTCTCCTGGTGAGCACGGCGGATGAGTTTAGAGAAGTTGCATCCCTTGAGAAGGTAGAAGGCGTGAATCTTCGGGGGGAGGGCCCTGGGGAAGTCCTGGAGGCTGAGAGTGGATATTTGCCCCTTCTTTCTGCGAAGTATCCCGTGAAGGACGGAGGAAACAGGGCCAGGAAGATGGTTGAAAGGTGGGGGAGAGGGAGCGAGCTTGTTTTCTTCCTGATACAAGCGCATATTGAAGGAGTTCCTGTAGGGCCTTCTCTGCAGAGTGCTTTCGGGAAAGTCGTTGTAAGCCTGGAGAGAGTCGCAAAAGCAGCTCTGGAAGTGGCCAGAGCTATTCCGAGCAGGTCCGTGCATGCGGTGATGGACTTAGTCCTGAGCTCGCGCACGAGAGAGTGGAGATACTCTCGTGGGAGGACTCCTGTGAGCGTGCATGTGGAAATATCCCAGGGAATTATAACGGTTAAAAACCTGAATTTAAGAAAAATATTCGTTAGTATCTCATCTTCCACGGAGTACCGAGTGATACACACGGCCTTCACTGCAGGAGCAGCACACACGTACGAAGTACCGCCTGATTCCCCGAAAGGAACGGCATATACCGTGCGAGTAGAGGCTTCTGACGCCTTCACAGAGCCTACAGTAGTTCATCTGTGCGAATAGCCCAAAATAAGCAATAAGCAATAGATGCAATCGATGCAATCGATGCAATGGATGCAATGGAATAATAAAGTAAAACACTCTAACAATAGTAAAGAAATACTCCACGAATATTGAAGGAAATACTTAAGCAATAGAAACAGTAATATACTCTAGTAATAGTAATACTCTAACAATAGTAATAGAATAGCAATAGAAACAGTAAAGTATTCTAGTAACACTCTAATAATAGCAATAGAAACAGTAATACTCTAGTAATACTTAACTAATAGTAATAGAAACAGTAAAGTATTCTAGTAATACTCTAATAATAGCAATACCAACAGTAATAGAAACAGTAAAGTATTCTAACACTCTAATAATAGCAATACCAACAGTAATATACTCTAACACTCTAATAATAGCAATACTAATAGTAATATACTCTAGCAATACTTAACTAATACTAATACTAATAACAATAGCACTAGAAACACTCTAATAATACTAATAGCAATAGTAACTAGCAATACTCTAACCAATGGAAACACCGAGACGTACTGCAGTACTGCAGTAGACCCGAGTGGAAGCCCGAAAGAGGCAGAAACTACTGCATTCCGCGGATATTCTGGCTTTCATATTCGGAGTCTTTATTTTTTTCATGCAAGACAGAGGCTGGACCATCCCCGAGGAAGAGCGCAGAAAGCTCTCCTCCCTCATCTCCGCAGCCAAAAGCCTCCTCGCAGGAGCCCCAGAGCCCGACGAGAACCTCTCCCTGGGAACCCTCGACTACCTCAGAAAGTACAAAATAGACGTAGCACAATAAATTCCTATACGCGAAGGTACTTGCTCGATATAAAGTGCTGTATGACAGCGTACGGGGACAGAACCACGCCGTCATACATTTTTATCGTTCCGCTGTTTACTTTTCCCACGGGAACCGATCTGAGCGAGTAAATCACGACGGAGTGCCTAGAAAAAGGCTCTTCCGACAGTTTCAGCTCCCCGTACTTCTCCACCCTCTCCCGGAACGTGTGCTTGCTCGGAGGATACGTTTTATCGAGGTGAATGAACCTAAGAGCCTTCGAATAGCAGAGTCCCTGCTGCTCCTCCGCAAACAAAAGCTCAAAGAAAAAGCCCTCCCGAGAGCAAAACTGCGCCGACCCGAAGAGAAAAGGCAGCAGCTGATAGTCGTCGAGTCCCCCCATTCCCTGGCTTCCTGCAGGCTCTAGCTTGTACTTCAGTATAAGCATCCGGACTATGCTGAAATAGTGCTCCATAACGAGGAGAAAAGCCCTTTCCTCAAGAGCCTCCGTCGTCATGAGGACGATCAGGAAGCAGAAGAAGTTCAGCTCGTGCCCTGTCCCGTAGTCTATCCTCGACTTGTTCCCGAAGGACTCCTGCAGGTACTTCTGCAGGACAGAAACATCCTCAGGTACAAGCCCTGGGAATGCGTGAGAAATGAGTCTCTCCCCCTCCACGGAGACTCTTTCCACAAAGTTCACGAATCCCTTGTTCCCGTACCTCTGATCCCCCTCCTCTATCGGAACTTCCCGAACTATTTCCTCAATTTGCAGGAGGAAAATATTCCCGGGAGTGATGATACTCGAGGAGTCGGAAACTTCAGAGTCCAGAACGTGCTTCTTGAGGCTCTCCAGAGTCCTGTCTTCTGAGAGGTCGTAGAATCGCTTGAGGTCTCCTGGGATCTCATTTCCCTGTATCTTCCGGTTGAGTCTGGCGATGTACTGCGTTATCTTCTTGTACGCTTCTGAAGCCCTGAACTTCGCAACATCCCTGCGCTCTGGGTCTATTGTGTATAATATTTCATCCATTGGAAATAAAATTTCCATGCTTATACCGTTCATAGAGCAGATCCACATAGGCGTATTCATACCGAATAGGAAGCTCCATACGGAGCCAATGAAGCAATTAGGAGAATACCTGAAGAGAAAAGGATATAGCATATACTACTTCGAGGATGCGTATAGGGATGAGACTCCCGTTGACTCCTGGCCGCACGTCGATGTGATGCTCACCTTCTTCTCGGAGGGAATTGACTTTATGAAGATCCGGACGTATGCGAGCATTCACAAGCCATTCGAAGTGAATGCGATCGACAGGCAGTTTCTTCTCCTGGACAGGCGCTCTGTGATGGCAGTCCTCGACAAGATAAAGGTCCCAACAGCAGAAAGAATCGTATACAACGGGAGCATTCGGAAGAAAGGATCTGCATATGCTCCCCCTGCAAGTACTGCGGACTTAGTGAAAACCCCGAATAACCCAAACCAAAACCAAAACCAAAAATCTCAGGATATCTCCGTGGAGAAGGAGATTGAAGAGATCGTGCGGAAGCAGTTGGAGGTCTTCAACATCCGGAGAGACGACCTTTTCCAGGGATCCAGCCCAAGATCCTGCCACGAGGATACGCTCTCCGTGGGAAGTGCTCGCATGGAGAAGCCGTACGTGGAGAAGCCCGTATACAGTGAGGACCATAATATCCACATATACTACAGCAGCAAGTGCGAGGGAAGAGAGAACGGGATCTGCCGCCTCTTCCGGAAGATTGGCTCTAAAAGCAGCAACTTCGACAGAAACACGCAGGGAACTTCGTACAGGGAGGACGGGAGCTTTATATACGAGAAATTTCTCCCCATAAAAGACTATCTCGACATAAAAGTGTACGTTCTTGGAAAAACTGTGTACGCTGAAACGAGGAAGTCCCCCGTTAAGGACGGAATTGTCATACGGACGGAGTCAGGAAAGGAGGAGAGGAAGGAGATAGCGCTGACTCCGCTGGAAGTATCGGCTGTTCTGAGCGTGAGTAAGGCCCTTGGGCAGTTCATATGCGGGATGGACATCCTCAGAACCTCGAACGAGAAGTTCATTGTCGTGGATGTTAACGGCTGGTCCTTCGTAAAGTCCAACGTAAAGTACTACACGCAGGCGCACCTGAAGCACCTAGATAAGAAGATAAAGAGACACGTCCTGAAGGGAAGAGCTAAGAGCGGAGATACTTCCCGGAGAGAGGACGTTCTCCTGTACGGGAAAGTTCTGGAAGCAGTTGTCTCAGATGCTGGGGGAAAAGGGGAAGTATCAGCACGAGATGTCGAGATAAAAGGCGTTCACTCCGTGTACAGGCACGCCAGGAGGACTCCGAAGCTGAAGAAGAAGCTCTCTTTCGCGTCAGAGCGTCTCCTGGAGTACGCTGGAAGAGCCTCGCACATGGCAGGGAGAGATACGTCGAAGGTGAAGGAGCTCGAGCGAATCCTGGGCGAAGAGAGTGCAGGAAATGCGAAGTTTGCGACCCACGGGAATCTCCATGCCCTGAAGGCCCTGAAGGAAATAACGAAGGAAAACAGCGACGTACGGGCGAAGCTCAGCATCGACGGGGAGAGTGTGAGAGTCGTCCTGAAATGGGGGGGAGCCCTCACGGAGAGATCCCGGAAGGAAATAGAGTACGAGGCGATGGAGTACGAGTCCTTTCTCTCGACAGTTGAGGGGGACTCCTTCTCGAACTATGCGATATATGCCCCGAATAAACCCGTATCGGAGAGAAAAACGGAGAGAAAAGTGAGAATTTTAGCAAACCCTGAAGATCGGACCCTGAAAACAGCAGAAATTTTCAAGACGGTTTTAGGGTGGACGGAAAGATCTGGGCACTCGATTAAGGAAAAGTACTTTTGCATTTCCAGGGATGCTGATGATCATGCAGATATCTCCTGTCCCAGGCTTGCAAGTGCGTACTCTATGATGAAGGAGTCCTTCCTGTGCGGGGAGTCCTCGAAAATTTCCGTTGAGCCTCTTCTTGGGGCTCCGCTGGAAAATGAGTACTCCTGCGCGGACGGGGAGAGAGAAATAAGCCTTCTCTACAGGAATAAGCTTACGATAAAGGCAGAAAAAGGCCTGGAGAAGGCGGAGAGAGGCTCTGGAGGGTGTAAGTGCGCGGATTCAGCGTGTGAGTGCGCTGAAATAGGGTTTCTCCGGAGGTGGTGCTTCGTATTCAACGAGTACCCGCTTCTGACCCTGAGAAATACGAAGACAGTTATTCCGTTGCTTCTGGACCTGATAGATTACGACATTCTATCGAGCCAATACGAGAGAAAGCGCTCCCCCATTTTCAAGTACTTCCCCTGCATAGAGGAAGTCTTTGCTCTTTTCAACGCGCATGCGAGTCTTCTCTACAGGAAGAGAATAGAGAAGTTCTTCAGAAAAAGTCTCTCCCTTGATGTTGTTGAGTATTTGGAAACCCGTATGAATTCACACTCTGATACGCTTTATGTGACGAAGAAGTTCACTCTGCTCGTTCTCTTGAAGTATATCCTCAGCATAGAGGAGACTGTCTATATGAACGAGAAGCTGAAGGGGCGGATAGAGGAGGCTATGCACAGTATAGGGTTTCTGAGCTCGATTTCTCTCGTGCATTTATCGTGCCGGAGTGTGGAGTACGTCCTTGTCCTGTACGGGCACGGGATACACATCCACAATAGGATCCACATGATGCCTGCAGAGTCTCCAGATCAGATACTCCGAACGGAGAGAAAGAAAGTTCTCTCTGTGATCAGAAAGAGTGTTTTCTTCCCAAAACCTGAACAAATAGTGAACAATAACAGTGAAAAATAATCTGATTTGAATAAATTCTCTCCGTATCTCCCATGTATTGAATAACCCGAACATAAACGCACATTTTCATAGTAGACTTTCCTTCTATTCACTCTTATTACTGTCATTTCCATGTATTCCCATGTATATTGGCGTGTTTCGGTGTATTTACTGTTATTTCGGGTTATTCTCGTGTGTTTTCTCTTATTTTCTCTTATTCCCGTGTATTTACTGTTATTTTCTCTTATTTTCTCATATGTTGTCTTATTTTCTCTTATTCCCGTAGTTGGTGTGTTTTCTCTTATTTCCCTTCTATTTTCTCATATGTTATCTTGTTTTCTCTTATTTCCCTCTATTTTCTCTTATTCCCGTGTATTTACTGTTATTCGGGTTATTCTTGTGTGTTTTCTCATATTTTCTCATATTCCCGTGTATTCCCGTAGTTAGTGTATTTACGTCTTTTGTTTGCAGATTAAATTTAAATTTCCCGAGAGAATGCAGAGGAATACGCTGAATGCTCTTGTGAAGGAGACTGAGTTTATAGACGAAACGATAAAGGCAGCAAAAGGAAAAATGTCTGCCACAAAAGAGGCCCTGGACGCGATAACTCTCGAAATATCCTCCCTCTCCCTCCTGAAGAACGACAGCCTAGTCCGCACCGCAGCTACAGCGCACTCGAACATAGAGCACACGAAAAGACTCCTCCTGGAAGTGCGGCAGTTCAGCGCCAAGTACAAGAAGCTCCGGAAGGAGATGAAGTCGTCAACAGAAAATCCAAGTGCAGAAGGCCTTCTCTCGATCTACAAGGAGATAAAAGAGGTTTTAGGACTAAAAAATGCAGCACCTGAAATAACGGAAAAAATAGGAATTTTGGAAAAACAGTTCGAAATATTGGTCCTAACCCTCGTAGATTCCCTCCCAGAGATCGTCCAGAAGGAGGGAGCAGTTGCGTACCTTAAAATCGTGAAAGTCTCCTCCTCCGAGGCCGCCCACACGGAGGGAATCTCCAAGCAGAAGCGAAAGGCGAAAATTCCCTCGAATTTAGAGTGCAACTTAAGCAGAAACCGACTCTTCGAGGTTTTCCTGGACTCTCTCGACAGGAAATTCGCAGAGAATCTCCCCGGAGCCCCAGAGTCTGCGAAAGCTCGCGGTCTTGCCTTCGTCCTGCAGGATCTCTCCTCCCTGAAGAAGACGGAGAGTCTCCCCGTCTCTGCAAAGTACCAAATATTCGCATTCGCGTGCATACAATATCACAGACTCCTGTACGAGTACTTGGACAAAAACTCCAACGCATTCGACCCTGAAGAGTCGATAGGAATCCTCCTGTGGAGCAAAAACTACTACGCAGAGATGCTGAAGATGGGAAAGATGAAAAGCCTCCTGGGACCCGTCCTCTTCTCAGGGAGGGAGGAGGAAGTTGCGAATAAGTACGTGAAAGCAGCAGAGGAGAAGCTCACGGAGTGGATAGGAAACCTCGCAGCAGCAGAAAGTACTCGCTTCCGAGAGAGAAAGAAGGCCCCAGACTTGGACAGCGAAGGAAAGTTCATAAGCATCGGATTCATGGATCTCCTCCACATAATCAGACAGCAGCTAGAGCCCATATACACACACCCGGAGATATTCCGGAGACTCTCCCAGCACATCCTCAAGTGCGTGAGAAAGTTCAAGGAGACGCTTTCCGTCGCTGTCCTTGAGGAGTTGGACCTTCTCCTGAAGGATAAAGCCCAGAATGGATTCGAGGAGTACTGCATCGCCCTCTCAAACAGCGGCCTAAAGTTCATGGACTGTCTGCACACGCTGAGCTTCTACAGTGACTCTCACGTACAGGCAATTAGTGAAGTCTTTCACGAGTGCATGGTTTGTGCTAGTGATGCTCTTGTCCAGAATATTCTCTTCGTCATTTCTCCTGCTGTTAGGAATATGTATACGAGGGCGTGGAATTCTGAGCCTGTCACGCAGAGTATTGTTTCAACGTACGCAGACTATCTGAAGGACTACAGGGAGAGCATGATCGACTACGCTTTTACTTTCTTCGTCTCCTCCCTCCTTGGGAATACGGTTGAGATGTACTTTGAGAGGTGCACGCGAAAAAAGGCTCTTTTCCTGGGGGAGCATCTTTGCATCGTAGGAGCAGATAGGAAGAGGTACCGGGAACTGTTTGGGCAGCACCTCTCGAAGAATTCTCTTAAGAGCATCCTCAGGAAGCTCGACTGCTTTATCGCGATTACTTCCTCGGATAATGTCAGCATATGCGCGGCAGAGGTCGCTCTCTACGTGAAGGAGTACCCGGAGGACTCCCG